TGGCTAAGTCTCGTCTTGTTCTTGCATTTGGGCAACACTAGCCGTAGTGCGACTTTGAGTCTGCTTATAAGACCCTTCGAGAGTGGAGATCATGTTTCAAAGACTTGTGTCTTGAGACACTGAGGTAACTAATACGACGACAAACTTCTTTCTCAAAGTTGGAGTTACCTAACTGGACAATCTGTCCCAGGTAAACTTAATGGTCGACAACTTCGATTGGAATATTCCCAATTTTAACTGGAGTCGGTACAACATGGACATTAGACATAATTTTCGTCATAACCTTATCACTACTACGGGGAGTGAGTGGGAGGGACTGCTGTCGGGTTTGCGGGTAGCGAATGCGATTGGTCGTGTGAAGTATTGGCATTACAGACCCTGCCAAAATACCAGCGCTACTGTGACACGTTTTGTGACGTGTTGCTGCAGCATTATGCTGAGGCAGGGTCCTGATTGACCATTTATTATAATCTTTTATCTATTAGACGAGTCCGTCCGTCCGTCTGTCTGTGGTGCTGTTTCAGCGGCCAAACCGTAAGAGATAGATAAAGAGAATATTTAAGTTATAAGTTAAGAATAGTCTGATAAGACTACAAACCGGATTTGAGTAACGTAGCACTTCCGGTTTTCGAGAAATCACGAATTTCAAACGAAACCACACAAAATCTCCGAAGTTCTCAATTAATTAAATACATTTTTTTTAAATCAGGTTTTGGTGAACATTTGGTTCACTGGTTTGCTAGTATGTACATTAATCTGTTTTATTTGCAGTTACTCTTTTATTATGAATAGTTTTCTTTTAGTATGTTGTAATGTGGTGGATAAAATTAGACTTGCAACGAATATTCGGTTACTATTCGGTATTCGGTCTATTCGGCTGCTTTTATTATATTCGGCCGAATACCGAATACTTTAATAATATATTTTGTCAAAGAGAAATAATTGGTAAAATTAAAAATTAAAATCGATTGATTACGTATATATTCATATTTTCATTATAATCATTTGAGTAGTCATTGGTACATAACACAGGTACATAATATCATCTTCTGAATTGGAAAAATGGAGGATTTAAATTATTGTGGTAATCAAAATTTAGAACGGTAAGGTTCTCATTTCTTTTATAATCATTTATTAAGTAGTCATTGGTACATAAAATAGGTACATAATTTAATCATTTTCTGTATTAAACAAGCTAAGAATTTTTCTATCATCCATCCATCCATCAGCCTTTCTCCGTCCACTGCCGGACATAGGCCTCCCCCATAGAATGCCACAATGCGCGGTCCTGCGCTATCCGCATCCAGCGAATTTTTCTATGCATTTGAATTATTTTCATAATCAAAATTTAGAAGGGGAAGGTTATGGTGCAGATAGACTAACTTTTCTGCATTTTAAGGAAGTAGTTTACTTCTTTTTTTCTCGTAGACCATCCCAGCTTCAGAGAAAAGGCGCTCTGAATAAACACTACTTCCTGGCGCCGACAAATATTATACTACAATCTTAATCAATCATGGAAATTCAAATTTCCTTGCTTGCCACCATGTATACGGGTTGTCATGACGTGATATATTACTAATATTTAAGAAAAGATCAGAACAACAGCGGGCTCGCGGGCGATATACATTTCCGATTTTGGGGCTTTCTGAAAAAAGAGCACATCAGGTAAACGAGCGTTGAAGTCCCCCATCACAACTGTGTAGTGGGTTTTGTGGCTATGCATCATGGCTTTAGAGATCTCCTCATACATCCTCCTGGCCTGGCCAGCCTCCACTTCGCCATCTGGATGTGTTGAAGTCGGAGCATAGACCTGAGCAACATTCAACGAGTATCTTTTCGACATGTTACACTGGTCGACACACTTGCGATGCTTATCACATTGTTGAAGATGGACGTATGGACGATAAACACGACACCGCCTTGGGACTGTTGGTCGCCCTCCCGGTTTACAGGAAATTACTAGAATTGAGGATTATGGAGTCTTCTCTCTGTCTTCGGACTTTAGATAGACTGATAATATCCCAGCGTAACTTACTAACAGCTGCTTTCAACTTCGTTAGTTTCGCGTCAGTTCTCAGTGTGCGTGTGTTGTAGGTTGCCAGGTACAGTCGTCTTTGATGGTAGCCGGATCTTACCGGGGATTTTTCGGACCTCCTGCCCTGCTGTTACCAAAGCTGCTACCATGGTTTGGACATGCAGGGCTGCCGGGAACTAGGGGCCGATTTTTATTTGTGTCAATCATTAGGGTGTTTAGCCGTAATAGCTACGCTTGGCAGACGGGTTGGCGATCTCAGCATGACCATAGAATTTAAGGAGTCGACGCTGTTTCCCGTCTTCTGCTGGCTGTGTTCCCGTAGTCGCCTTTTACGACACCCACGGGACGAGAGGGGGTGGTACTATTCTAGGCACGTCCACACTGTATGTAATAAATAACAATGTAAAGTTTAAATGTATAATTACATCTTATAATAAAAAAAATCAGTCGTCACGGGACGCCTGGCAGATGTGAAACACTAGCCGGGGGACGATAAAAACACTCGGAAAATTGCTCGGGATGCGTGCGGTAAAAAATGCGAGTAGTTAGCGAAAGCACTGGTATAACTTGCATTTTACGGGTTTTACGTGCAACAAAAGATGTTTCACATAAAAAAAATAGTAAAATATTATATTTTCAATCTTCATCGTTAGTATAATCTTCATCATCTTCATATTACAACTCTTGTTCGATTTGGACGTATTCATCACCGTCCTAAGTGAGTATCTGTAACAAACAATGGTTGTGATACCTAATTTTTTGCAAAGTGAAGAACATACAGGATGCACTACCTTCTAGTATGTCCATTATGTTTCCAGGGCTTAGTCGGGGATGGATAGGCATCGGTGCGAATCTTAGTTGCGAGTTAAATGATAAACAAACATGAGACGCTTGTGATACCAAAAATATCATTTTTTGGTATCACAAGCGTCTCATGTTTGTTTGCCTTTTAACATAAAGAAACCGCACAGGGCCCGTGTGGTAGGTTACTGCATGGTCCATTCTCCCTAAGGCTTGTACCCCAGAAATGGGACATTAATTGGCTAATGATGATCTTGATAATACTTAAATATAAATAGATCTTACATATGCAAATGTGTAACGATTAAGTACAAAATGCAACAATATTAAAGGAGAATACCCTTTCGATGTAAAGATAACGATACTTTATTGGCACGGGTTATCTAGCAAGTGTCGCTACAATATTGCAATTTAAGGTCCAGCTCCTTCAAATTTACAATAATTGCAGATTGATCCTTATTTAGTACCTACTGTTAACAAAATCTTTGTATGCAGACCGAATGAGTTTTAGGCTGATTTTTTTGCTTATCTATTTTTTTGATGTGAAACATCTTTTGGCGCACGTAAAACCGATTTCTGGCGTGGCAACGTTCGCCCATAAAATGCAATATATACCAGTGCTCAACTACTCCCCGATCAGTACGGGCACCAGCGCCCTTCGAGGCAGGACTTATGTCATTTTTTACTGCATGCATCCCGAGCAATTCTCCGAGTGTATTTATCGTAAACCGGCTAGTGTTTCACGTCTGCCAGGCGTCCCGTGACGGCCGTTTTTTTTAAACGGCATACCTATTAATTATTTAGGTACTCCTCTTTATAATACTAAGACTTGATTAGGATCATTGATTGATCTTTGAAAAAATTTCCCATAATTCAATAAGTACTAAATTTTGCGGCCCTTTAACTATTAGGTAGGATCAAAGAACACAGAAAGAGATTAGAAGAGCCTTGTGGGCGAGCAGGCTTGCGACACTTATGTGTGAGCAAATGCTCATTACTTGACCAAAACTTGGTTCTGATTGCGTCGCTCTCTGTTAGCGCTCATTGGTTCTATTGTTTGATGTCACGTCGTTTGAATGGCTATTATCTTTAAGATGGAAGTGTACTGGGGGCGAGCGCGCGACATTGGTTCCCGTTCTAAAGGTCTATGATCACCCTTCTAATCTCTTTCTGTGTTCTATGGGTAGGATGCCTCTCATGTTCCGGAGCATTCCTTAGTTAGGTGGGATTGTTCGATTCAGAGAGTCACTGATAGGGTCAAGATACAGACATACAGAACGAACTGAATAAATGCATGAATTTGATCATCAGAAAGAAAACTCTCCTCCACTCTCCTACTCTCTTTCTCTCGAATCGGAGCGCCGTCTGTGAAAGTGAGCCCTACCTTATAGAAACAGTAAAATAAGAATAACTTTGATGGTGTTGTGTTCCTGTCGGTAAGGTTCCAGGGCTCCAAGGATAGACAAGGGCGCAAGCGATATCTTTAGTATCACAAGACTGATGGTAAGCGCCCATCAGGCGTAGCTTATTAGACGGTTACGCCTGATGGCCGCTTACCACCAGGCGGGCTAAGGCCATATGCCACCTTAATAACATATAAAAGGGTGAAGTCAATGAAGTAATATTTTACGAGTTTACGAAAAACGGGCATCAAAGTGTGAAAGAGGCGAAGTTATCGAAAAGACAGTAGAATTTATCTTACAAAAGGGGAAGGAATTCTCACTATATTCTCTCATCAACTCTATGGGTCGAGGATATATCCGACAGGCCCTATCGGATATATCCTCAACCTGTATTCCTCGACCAATATCCTAAAGCCCAGTTTTAGTTAGGGTTTTAGTTGCCCCATCCAGTGTCTTTGTCGGGACTATTACCCAGGTGAGGTAAGGGACATTGTTGGGTATTCAGTGTGTAGGGTACCTCCCCTTCCCAGCAGCAAATCGAGAGTGGCAAAATTATAAAACACACTTTAAATCAATTTGTCCTCGAACCATGTCTTAAAACCCTAACTATTAGGGTTTTATTTGCCCTATCCAGTGTTTTTGTCAAGACTCAATAGTGTTGACAAATAAATGCATGAATTTGATCATCAGAAAGAAAACTCTGTCCTCCACTCTCCTACTCTCTTTCTCTCGAATCGGAGCGCCGCCGTCTGGGAAAAAGAGCCCTACCTTATAGAAAACCACACTATAAACAAATTTAATTAAAATTGCATTACGCATTGTTGTCTTATGATTTCGAAGAACTGTCCTACCCTTAAATAGAATTAATTCATGCACGCTTTCAAGAAACGGCTATAATATTCATTCGCTCTATTTCATTTAACAAGAGAAGTCGGTTAATCAAACAGTCAAAATGGTGTCTAAAAGTAATGTAGTATATTTTCTTGTATTTTATATTTTGAAATTTGTATCCGCCCGAAGTTTTACTGTTGTCCTAGATACTACGGGATCAATGAAATTCGAAATAGAAGAAGTACAAACGTATATCCCAGACGTTGTAGATATATTAAAAAATACAACAGAGTTCAACAATTACGTTCTAGTCACTTTTAACGATGCAGGTAAATATCGCGTCCGTGATGCTAGCGTACCCACGATCAATATACGGTTTTTCGTTATGCCATTAAATACTGCGTAAATAGTGCCAAATTAGTGTAAAAAAAAATAGTGCCTCTTTAATTTAAGAAATAAAGACCATTTTTACTGTGTACGCTACCATGACGTCAAGCTAGCGTACCCATGGCCGACCCCAAGAACGGCATATATTTAAGCAACGAAATTGACACACAAAAATAGTTCGCAAATAGTGCCCTGGCTTTACAAAATTTCATAATCAATACTCTTAAAGTACCAAAGATATTGAACTAAACATTCTTAGCTGGCGTCAACCTGGCGTACCCATAATAGTTCTCATAGAAAATGAACTTTTATCGTTATCAATTCTATATGTATAAATAGTGTGTCAAATAGTGCCTCTAACAGTAAAAGTATTTTAAGTGAATCCGCATCACAACAATACATAAAGAGAATCTTAAATTCCAGGAACAAATGTATTGTAGTACAGTTGCACACAAAATTAATTTATGCACTAAGAGATTATCTATATATGTATTTATACTAAAATAAATAGGTACTTTTTATAAAAAGATATTTTATTTCAATTCGAATTCACCAATCATAAATTCATATAAGAATTTCAACCTACCTACTAAGTACCTTACTTACCTACTATACTACGAAAATATTATCACTTCTGTACATGATTGTACTTTATGTATAAATATAATTTAATTGCTTTTTTTATATTGTTTTACTGTGAATTCACATAAAATACTTTTACTGTTAGAGGCACCATTTGACACACTATTTATACATATAGAATTAATAACGAGAAAAGTTCATTTTCTATGAGAACTAATATGAGTACGCCAGGTTGACGCCAGCTAAGAATGTTTAGTTTAATTAAATAAAATAATCAGATCTTATCTACAACAACCACATAGGTTCAGTGGTAAAAAGCTCGCCGGCCACGCGGGCGGCCCGGTTTTGTTTCCTAGCCAAGGAAATACTTTTTTATTTTCCATTTTTATGAGCCAGTGTAACATTAAGTACTTAACTAAGTATAGGGCGATAACGACGATACTTTAAAAGTTTAAAAAAACAAAGACATTTTTTTTTACCTTTTCAAAGTTAAATTACTGAAGAGATTTGTAAAGAAAAGATTACCTGAAAAACATTTCAGATATTAAATTAAACACATGGTAACCTGTACCTTTCACCAAATTCCTTTTGTTTATACTTTTATAAGTTACTAGCTGTGCCCCGCGGTGTTACCCGCGGTTTATTAGGCATATTTTCCCGCAGTAAAACGAAGCCTATGTGTTAATCCAGGGTGTCAGCTAACTCCATGCCATATTTTATTAACATCGCTCCATACACACTCACAAACTTTCGCCTTTATAATATTAGTGTGATTAGTGTGATTAAAAAGGTTTCTTTTTGCTTTTAGAGTATGTTCCTCCACCATTGATAACTCAAAACCCAAATCAATTAATGGATAATTTAAATAATTTGAGAGTAATCGGTGGTTCGGAATGTCCAGAGGATTCTCTATCTGCTATAGAGAAAGCTCTAGAGATAAGTGAACCAGAATCAAAAATATACTTATTTACTGATGGCAATGCTAAATACATCGATAAATTAGGAGACATAAAAAAATTGTGCAGGGACACTGGAAGTCAGGTAAGATGATCCATCATTTCATGCTTCCTTGTTTTGTAAGATTCCGTAATTCAAAAGAAAAAATAAGGACCACTTTGTTCTTTGTCCATCCGTCTGCCTGTCGATACGGCCGACTTCTCAATCGACCGACGTATCAATAATATAAAACATTGAGATCTACAGTCTTTGAAACAGTGAAAGAAACTTAGTCATTGCAAATCATAGGATATGACACTATGCTCGTTATACATAGAAGGTTTTGCCGCACTCGCGGGGAAATCTAAATCTATAGTTAGTCTGTCTATCCCACGAGTTTCTTTGACCCAGTGGCATGATGGGACAGGTAAGATAATTTTGTCTGGCTATTCCCAATAGGACAACTGGTACTAATGTATTTTTCAAATTATGCCCCTATAGTACCATAAGACAACAAATACTTTGCTTAGAATCATAAAATTTGCCACGAAGCAGCGTCATGTTAGAAGAGTCTGGCGTCGTCACTATCATGCCGCTTGAAAGTTAGTGGATTGATTAAACAGGCTTGATCAAGCCAAAATCCTTCCGTCAAGTGGCATATCCTTCCAAAATGTCTCCCAAGACTCTTTTCACAAAAAAGAAAATCTGGGTTCAATTTCCAAATCCGCATTCCAAAAGCCTGGCAAGCACTTGCAGATTGCCATTGGCTAGACTCATTTCTTTACTTTGGCTTTACGTAAGTTAGTATTTCGTGACTATTAAGATAGCTTCAAGGGACTTTAAGGGCTCCAAGGAGGTGCAAGCGCAAGTTAAGGACTTCTTCAAGAGAAGTTCTCTAGTCTCTCTACCCAACCCCACTCTCACATTCACGCGGTGGAGCCTGTTACGACGAGCAACTCTACGGAAGATTGAGTGAAGATCTAAGTGGGAAGTAGAGTCTAGGGGGGTGTTGCAACCATGACCTTAAATCGTGACAGGTGGCGTAATTTGTAAAGAGAGAGATCATACCTTATTTTCTTTCCCCAGGTGGTAATATTCTTGAGTGGGACCTGTTCTGACCGAGACCCTGGCGGCGTGGGTTATGTGGACGTATACTACGATATAGCTAGATCGTGTTCCGGTACTGTTTTCAACATCGCTGCTGTCAATATAAGAAAGGTAAATTCTATCATCAGAAGCAGTGGGTTCTTTATTTTCACATACACATTTAATGAGCTAGGTACTTAGTTGCTTCCTTCCCTGTACAGATAATGAAAATCTATCAAGGGATAGGTAGAGTACTAACTATATTCGGAAACTGCTGCAAGTGTTTGTTTTGGTATCCTGATACTATTGTTTCCAGAAAATCTTATGAAGGAATCTTCAGACGGCTTATGTTTGGTTACTTTAATTGGTAAAGCATTTTTCTCCTGTAGTAAGATATATGTATTTTATCTTTAACTAGCTGTGACCTGCGGTGATACCCGTGGTTTATTAGGGATATTTTAACGTAAAACGTAGCCTATGTGTTAATCCAGGGTGTCAGCTAACTCTATACCAAATTTAATTAAAATAAAACTCCAGCTGTTTAGACGTAAAGAAGTAACAAACATACACACTGACAAACTTTCGCTTTTATAACATTAGTGTGATAGTTTGATAAACTTTATTATTTCAATTAATCGATCGTTATATTAGCGATTGGATAGAAAGCACGGCTCTAATGGGAACTAACATTTTGCCACTATTTCATTTTAATTAATTGTCATTAGAAGAACCAATATTATGTCTCCTATCCTATAGTAAACATCCGGTGGAAGTTATTGAAACGCAACAATGTAATGGGATGGCCAGCATCATTGAGAACTTAACTGATACGCGTGCAACTTTATCTCTAGGTTCAAACGTTCAAATCCATCAACAATTAATAACGAGGTCAAAATACAAAGTCTATTTTATTTATTGATCAGGTTACATTACTCTGGCAAAACTTTAAAAATGTTTAGATTTTTGAAGTGATATTTTTAAGTACAACCAAATATGAAGAAGATTTGCTTATCCCCAAACAACGATATATAACTCGGAAGACTACATACAACACGACCGATCTGTTATATTAGTACCATTTAATTTAGCTAAACTTCTGTTCTCATGATATCTTTAAATGGAATGTAAGAAAAGGTATATTGTATGCAAAGATTGTACGTAAGTTTCTAAATAGTATAATTTAAGAATCTGTCGATTTATCTTTCAAGCTAGCGATAGAAAAACATAGAATACTGAAAACTATCCAGTTTAGACAGTAAAAATCTATTAACAGACAGGGCATAAATTCAGAAGACGTGGTAGGGGATAGGCTGACAACAGGAATTATTCTTTTCTTTCTCTCCTAAACATAAAGCAATTTGACAATAGTGTATCCTATTCATTAGTCACACTAATATTATAAAGGCGAAAGTTTGTGAGTATGTGAGTGTGTATGTTTGTTACTTCTTCACGTTAAAACGGCTGGAGCGATTTTAATAAAATTTGGTATGGAGTTAGCTGACACCCTGGATTAACACATAGGCTACGTTTTACTGCAGAAAAATATCCCTAATAAACCGCGGGTAACACCGCGGGGCACAGCTAGTTATAGAATACGAACAGGATATCTCATTAAATAAAACAAGTTTCATTGACGTTTCATTCGAATATATTTATTTATTGACGTGTCGCATCCTTTGCAGGAATGCGTCGTCACAATAAAAACCAGTGCATCTAACCCGTTGAAACTTGTTTAATTTATATAATGAGTGATGTGCATGAAAAAATAAAAAACAAATGGGATATCTTATATTATCCAATATAAGACCCAACTACTAAAAAAATATAAATTTCTCCCAATACTAAAGCACTAGTGTTAAAGGTTGTATCACTCATAGATAAATGAATCTCGAGCGAGACCAATCATTCATCTATGGTATCACTATTACAGGCGTTTAAATACATCAAGGATATGGTCAAGACAGATTACAATGATATAGTCAATCACGACGCTTTTACGGGTTACCAACAGTTTTCAGTAAGTATTTAGTACCTAATTGCCTTTTTTTACCCGTTTTCGTGTTTACTTGGCGTAGGGTGAACGATTTCTCGGATACCGCTTTACTTTCAGAACGTATTTATTCCTACAAAAAAAATATTAGAGGACCAATCATGAATTTTGACAGCTCCGTAGGTAACCGTATCGCAGTGTCAAAGTTTCTGTGAAAACTAAACAGTACCCTATCAGAAGGACAAACTGGCTTCTTCCATTAATGGCTTCAATTTTGTACGATGACTACATGACTACGGAAGTCTCAAAATTCAATCGATCAATACTTCATTGCATTCTACAATGTTTTCTTAGATCTTAGTAGGTACATAGATTTGATCATTGTAGAACCTGAACAGGGAACAGCAAAGAGAATAGAGAAGAGGATGCATTCACTAATTGTAATTTAGTTAATACGTATACAATTTATCAGTTAAAATACGATTATCTTTTTACCTAACAAATAAGGATATGTTAGTATCAACATTATTCTATAATTTTAGCTCAATATTATAGTTTTTGATTTATTATTATGTATGCCATATTCTTTAGCTTAATATGGTACATTTTATTATTACTTTTTTTATTATATACAAATAAAATAAAATGTCAGGGATATTACAAATAATAACGCATTGCAAATATCATTACTTTAATTCATTAGCCTCTAAAAATCTTTAACCATGTTATTACATTTGCTTAATAGTAGCTTTTTAATTTTTCCAATAAATATACCTATAATTTGATTTCGTACATGGACCTCTTTTAATGTCTAAGATTTCAAGGTATATATTTATGAATCTACTTTGTTTGATTATATATAAAAAATAAAACAAATACCTACTTAATAAAACAATAATAGGGATTAAATACTTAGGGACAGAACCTGCACCACAGAAAAAACAACCAGATCATTATGTGTACCCCTAAGGTATACAAAACATAATTACTATACGTAAATATCAGGGGTATACATAGTAGGCACCTCAGTTAATCCTTAACATTAAGATCAAGTTTAAGTTGATCAATAAAATTGTTTGCTTCATCATCAGCCTATTAATGCCCCCACTGCATAGGCCTTCCCTATGGATGGAATAGGGAGATTGGGCCATGACCCACCACGCGGGCCCAGTGCGGATTGGTGGGTGCTAACGCCTGCAGATGCAGCCGGGCCAACGGCTTAACGTGCTTTCCAAAGCACGGAAGAACTCGAAATAGAAAAATTTTTGGTCACCCGTCCAATGTCCGACCACTGCGAAAGTTGCTTAACTTCTACGATCACAGCCAAACGCGTGTACTAACCATCCGTGCCATCGGGCTCTTCCGTTCGTTCCGTTCTCCGTCGTTTGCTTTAATTACCTAAAATGTTTTGTCAATTCTGAAAGTGGCCCGTTACTACCAAAGGGCTTATGAAACACAGCCTTAAGGCTGATTTACACTTCGGTAATTACAGTAGCGAGCTAACCTACGGTCTTGGCGAGTAAAGTTTCATATTATCGTTTATACAGGGATTATCACAGCTAAAAAAATGTCCTTAACTGATGATATGGGAAAAAATATGGACCATTCTAGAGTTGTATTTTTCATCCAATTAGTAAAATAAATAATTATGACTTTTGACTTTTTCACACGACACCGGTCCTAGCCACGGTCCTTGGTACCGTCCCTAACATATGCATCGTGTGAATGGTTTCATGGTGTCACTCATAGAAGACTGACGACCGGATGTAAACCCGGTTTGACCCCGCGCCGGGCTTAGAGTGTATATATTCTGTGGCTCCGGTGAGAATGAGTGAGTGGGCATAAGCCCAGGAGGCAACTTTTTCAATAGTCTTTTTTTACAGTTCGTTATCGATGCAGTCACAACGGATGTCTTAATCGCTCTATCTGGTGACTATCCAGTCTTGTCTATATCTGATGAAGAAGGGTACAGTCCAGTGATGGACAAAATGGTGGACACCAGACAGTCGCTGGTAAATATTGCTATATATTATAGTGATTTATTTTTCTATGTTATTTATGTTAAAAGAATGGCAAATATGCTATGGCCCACCTAAGCGGACACTATAGACTATGGACGCTTGCGATGCTAAAAATATCATTCACGCCGTTGCCTACCTTGACTACCCCGTATATCTGATAATTGATTGTATTTCACCTGATGTTAAATGTAATTTAAGGCCTGAGGCTATATTAGAAACCATTAAACCTAGACAAAAGACTCGATTGAAGTGAGATACCGCTCTACTGTGCGTAAAGCAAATTAGCGACGTCTTGTTTAACATTGAGACTTGCTTAGGATGCGTTTTAAATTAATAATATGGGTGTTAGTCTTAGTAGGGGCTAATATTCTAATTTAAAGTTAAAGCAAGTGTCAATGTGACATAATTCTATCTCTTTCTAAGACAACGGACCGCGTAAAGAGTAAAGTCACACAATTTCACAGCTGTCTACCCTAGAGATGATTTTCATCATCAGCCTATTAATGTATCCACTGCAGGGGCACAGGCCTTTCCTGCGGATGGAAATAGGGAGATTGGATCATGACCCTACACGCGGGCCCAATGTAGGTTGGTGGTTGCTTAAAAAGTAAGGAAGTGGCTATCTTACTGCAGTTATAACTGGATTTAGCGGCTTATCGGCAGAAAGAAATCTTGGTTGAAGAACCCACGAGAATGGACTTGAATTTCGAGCGCCGCGGAATTGTTCCATCTCGCTAAAGATAGGAGATGTATGCTGAGCTGACTGCCAACCTTCGTTCTTTCGATAGTCACAAGAAGAAGAAGAAGCGGCTTATCGTGCCTACCGAATCACGTTGGAGCACGGGATAGTAAAGTTTTGATCATTTTATTCGATTATATTTAATGTGATCTTCGAAGGTAAGCTTGCAATGCAGATAAAACGCGCTTACTAAGCACCATCGACCTCCTTCAGCTCCCGTTATTGTGGAGAAACAGAAACCTTATTTACACCTAAAATATGACATCGTAATTTTTGGCTGCAGGTCACTTAAAAGCGGTGGAGAATTTTCCCCATACAAATACAATATTCTCATAATAAGGAAAATGCGTGACGCGTCTGTTCGATGAAATGGAGAACTTCCTCCAAAAAGCTGTTTTTTTTTTATAACTTTCAGGTCGTCCGATTATCAAATCTCAAAGCTGGCACATATAAAGCCAATGCAAGAGCCCAAGGTCAAACTTACGTTACGTTCTATAAGAGAAACCGGCTGATATTCGAGTATGGATTCTGTACCAGGCTACCCAACTCCTTGAAAGAGACCAGCTTGCGGCCAATACCAGGTAATTTAATTATTGGAAGAATTTCCATTACAAATTCATATAATATATCATCAGTTTCATAAATCAGTTTCAATGACGAAAAGTCTGTTACGCTTTAACTCAATGAGCTCTCAAATCAACCAATTTTAATAATGCTTTTGTTAAATCGAATCAAAAGTTCAATGCGCAGATCGTAACGACGTCTATGGCATTTCCCATAGGTTTTACTTCAATGCAAACATAATGAAGCACTAGAGCAGTGTTTCACAGTGTACAGCACACGCCACGAAAGTGCTATGCCGCGCCACGGTAATAATATATTACCGTGGCCGCGCTTCCACTGTTTCCGCCACCCCGATGGCACTCGGTTCCTTCCTTCCTCTAACCGCATATGTCTAGACTAGGTCTCTAGACCTTTAAATCGCCCACTGCGCATGTCAAAGCACGTGGTTTGTCAAGTCTCATCTTTAGTGGCGCGTTTGTACGCGTACCCCCAGGGGAGGTTGCATCAAGGGTATGCGTAGTAATTTTGGAACTAATATATTTAATCAGGATTTAATGTTTTATATTTATCGTTCCTGCAATAAGGAGAACGCGAGTTTGAGGTCTTCCTTGGAGTCGTTCGTAAAAAAAGCTAATTAGAAACCACTGCACTAGATGTTCAGTTTGTTGTTTATACACTAATCTAAGTGACCTATTAAAAATTATATTATAAGCTCCGCTCCAATATATGCTAGCGAAGTTTTTTGTTAAGCGAGTGAATCGACCTAGTAAATTAAATATGTAACAAATATTTCTACTTCAACCAATATTGTGATATTATAAATATGCAGTAACATACCTTAAGGAGTCATATTAACAATTTAATATCTTGGAAGCCTGTTCTTTTGATGTGGCCCATAGAGCTTAATAACCAGTAGTAAAGGTAAGTATAGTGTTTAATTTCAGCCACCCAGGGATGGCACTGAATTTTCCTGACTTTTCTTTTCATCTAGTATCACTCCTCTCTCCATGAACATTGTATTCTTTTTCTTTTTAAAAACTTAAATAGCTGTCCCCTTGAAAAGTTTGCAATTCTTTTTTCAATTGTAAAAGTGCGCGATCCGTGGTGGGCTATTACCCTTTACATGAGACGTGATGAAAGCTTCTTGAACGTTAGTAAGATGAAGATGGAGTAGAAGAAAATATACTATAATGGTAGGATTATAAGTAACGCTCTAATGCAACGCGAACAAACCATAGCTTGTAGGAAGGTCAAAGGGGAGGATCTTGCTCCGAGCTGGGTGATGGTAGCTCGGAGGTAGCGGCCCGACTGATGATGGTCGGGCATCGTATATATCGAGTGTTTGCTCCGAATTTCTCTTGCGTGATGTAGGCTTCCATACGTTGTGAACGCAGCGTACTCGTAAGTAGCGCCATCTTTTGTGGAGGCGAGTGATTATTTTATCCATGTTAGTTATATGTGGAGCATATAAATGTCGCCGCCACAAGCAGATTCGGATTTTTTGTAGTAAAATCCGAGATGAATCTCACAAATTTATATGAAGAAGCTTCTTGTAAGCTAGCAAGAGGTTAGTATTTAGTAATATAGAGATTCGTCATCTCTCTTATCACTGAACCAATAGTTTTGTTAAGTTTATCAAGGCGGTTTCCGCACTTAGTCCTAATTAATGGATCAATTGTGCGTGCCTCGAAATATTCCCGTTAATTCCAGCCAGCCTAAGTTAGTCCAGGAAGAAAGCAGCCTAACGATGCTGGCGACTGGAGAAGTCGTGCCCGTTGGTCGGCGTTTCTTCTGCCTCCATGCATCTTCTGCATAGGGGGCTGTCTATCACTTCTATTGTATATTGGTGTTTGTTAAGAAGACAGTGACCAGTCAGGGTTCCTTTAACCTTGCGGAGTTTGTCCCTATTTAGTCTGGTAAGGGTGCGGGTAAGTGTCTTGTTTGCCGTCGGAACAGCGTTCTTTGATTGCCGGCATTCATCTGTTTTCCACTCAGGTAAGTGTGTTTTCTGAGTTCTTTCATGCAGCCACGTTATGATTTGGGCCTGAGGTATGGGCAGCAAGGGTTCTGGACTTCTCATTATTATCATTATCTCCTTATTACTATCCTCAGTCCCAACTTTTAAATAGGTATGTTTACCTATACAAGTCTTCTTTATGGACAGGGAAAATGGTACATAACCCATCATGCTACCTAATGCTATGTATGCTATGCTGCAGCCAAAACCAACAGCTAAATGCGTCTTCCGAAGTACTTAGGAATTTGATAAAATGAGTTTTTATTCACAGAACACAGACATAGGTTATAAGGGTGATTATTAACCGTTTGTTCGGGGTCATCCAGTTGATGGCCGGCCATTGCGAAGATGATTATCTCTGCACCATCACGCTCCTTAGAGTTGAGTCATTGACAATTAAATTAATAAAATTGTTTCTTTTCTTTTAGGTTGGAATAACTACATACTGGTAGCAATGCCAGAAACTGAAGGCTTGAAAGTCCATCAGCTAGAAATGGAATTCATCGGAAGCGATCGAAAGAAACGTATTATCCTAGAAGCGCATCCCAGTCTTAAAGGATTCTACATCGCTTCATTGTTAATAGAGCCGGGAAAACCTTTCAAGATGACGGTAATGTTATTATTTCTTTCAAGCTGGAGCACTGAACTAGATGAGTTGAGATTAACTTTATCGACTCTTTCTTCATTTCCGACTTATAGTGGGAGAGATTGAGCGGGGATTTTGAGATTTTCTGAAGCGTGGGATTTCCTTGCACTTTGTGAAATACTCCCACCATGCCTGAGCCCTTTATAAAGGGGTTGAACGTGTACAGCAGCAAAAAATAAAACAATTGGCCATGACTTTTGGTCGCGTCCAACTCGTTGACGTTACATTTTCGATGACGCAAATATAATGAACCTGCCGGCTTGGGTGACCGTACGAAGATTGGTATATGCTCTAAGTTCACAAGGTTGCCCTTGTTGTGATGCTTAATATGCCCGGCTCGAGTAAATCTCAAAATGCCCGCTTGAACTCCCCCTACTACTGTTTTTAGTAAACACTGAGAAAGCTATCGCAACTAAACTAAAAACTTTTTACAGACAGCAGAGGTTTATCTCGGTTGAGAACAAGTTCACAAAAAGAGCAACTATATTCTACTTTTATGTAAATAGTTATAATATAAGTTATTTATGATATTAATGCGGTAAGTTGGGTATTACAAATGAATAGACGAATGTAAGCCTGAAACGAAGGCGAGTAGTAGTACCATAGTCACGAGTTCGTAAATAAATACCATTGGCGCAGGAAATTTATACAACGTTTTTCAACACATTTGCGAGAAACCAATAATTTTTTTAGTAATGATGCAAACTTTTTCTTATACGAAAATGGCTCGCGATTCCACGCGGTGCCACGTGCTAGTGGTCAAAATTAGAATCTTCTCTTTTTTCTTTTCTTAGTATTATTAATTATTAGTATTAAAGTTTGACAAACTTATAGGTTCAATCGAAATTAAAAGAATACCGTGAAGAAAACGCACGATGTCTTATACCGGAGCGTGCATTAAAAAAAATTCAACAAAAAATGCTTTTGCTGAGGTTGTATACATTGTTTGAAAATTCAGAATACGGGCCGTACAACTAGGTGCGTGCGGTAAAATTCTTTACGCATGCTCCCATAATTGACACTTTTTTACTGTTTTTTAAATTTATTTGATTTAATTTATTTACATGAGAAAATTGCTAAATTAAATGAGCACAGGAGATCGGTAGGCGAAAAGGGGATTGGAGGGTGAAATGGGATTCGAGGGTGATAAGAGAATTGGTGGGTGATAATAAGGGATTGGTGGGGGAATGATAAGTGATAATAGGGGATAAGTGAGTGATAGTGGGAATTGTTAGGTGAAAAGGTATTGGAAGATGAAAAGGGGATTGGAGGGTGTAAAAGGAGTGCGAAAAAGGGGATTCGAGGGTGAAAGAGATACGATGGTGATAAGAGGATTGGTTGTTGGGTGATGGTGGGGATAGATGGGTGATGATAGGGGATTGGTGGGTGATAGTGGGGATAGGTAGGTGAAAAGGTATTCGAGGGTGAAAGGGAGTCGAGGGTGATAAGGGGATTGGTGGGTGATTACATGGGATTGGTGGGTGATAGTGGGGATTGATGAGTGATGATAGGGGATTGGTGGGTTATAGTGGGAATATGTAGGTAAAAAGGGAGTTGAGGGTAAAAAGGGGATTGGAAGGTGTAATGGAGAAATATCTTACCGACTTTTCTAATAAGGTTATCAGCCCATTAATGTCTCCACTGCTGGCGCACAGGCCTTCCCCATGGATTTAATAGAGAGATTGGGCCATAACCCACCGCGCGGGCCCAGAGCGGATTGGTGGTGCTAACGACTGCATATGCAGCTGCGATCAAAGGCTTAACGTGCCTTGCCTCCGATGCACGGAGGAGGTCGAGATAATAAATTTTTGGTCACCCATCCAATGACCGACCACTGCGAAAGTTGCTTAACTTCAAGGATCGCAGCCGAACGCGCTAACCACTTCCGCCTTCCTTCTCCATTAGGGTGTATTAGAACCTTATTGTTTTCCCTTAAAAAGACGAAACGGTATTTATTTGTGATATACGTGATATAAATACAAATTAATTCTATATTCACAGATAATTGCAAAGGATATAACTACGTACAACGACATTAAAGGAACAACAAGCATCATCGAAATACAAAGTCCGAGTAAGTTATTTCAACAAGATTATTGCAGTTACCACCTCACCTTAATATACTAACATGCTAGATTCAAGATTGTAGTTTCGAATTTCAATAGAGTTTTTACGTAGTTGGCCAAGATATAGTGTAATCACACTAATATTACAATGGCGAAAGTTGGTGAGTGTGTAGGTTTGTTACTTCTTCACGTCTAAACGGCTGGAGCCATTTTAATAAAATTTGGTATGGAGTTAGCCACAGAACACAGAAAGAGGTGTTAGCTGAAACCCTGGATTAACACATAGGCTACGTTTTACTGGAAAATATCCCTAATAAACCGCGTTTATTAGGGATATTTTCTTAATGTGAGTATACATATCTTGCTTAACTAACGGAAGAGGCAACTGTTTCTTAAGTAAATTCCTTGTAGTTAAGCTAGCAAGATGAAAACTGTCAAAGGTTACAGGCTTCGCTATCCAGTTCCAATTTTCCAAAGGCTTGATTTCATCATCATCATCATCATAAGCCTATTAATGTCCCCACTGAAGGGACACGGGCCTTCCCTATGGATGAAATAAGGAGACTAGGCCGCGACCCACCAAATTTCAGCTGTCTAGCTATCATTGTTCATGAGGTACAGGCAAACAAACAGATGGACAGCGGAGTCTTAGTAGGTAATAGGGTTCTGTTATACCCTTTTTGAAGAATTGAATACCCGTACTCATATCTGCCCCACGCCTTCGGTGTTCCTGCCTGTTGTTTTTAAGTTTTTTGAGAGCCATACTACGTATCCCGTACAGGCTGACGTCTGGGATATTTTCTGTTGGAACCCTAAAAATACTTTTAGGCAGTAGCCATATCAAATCAAATGCATGTAAACTGAAATTTCCTATATTATAATTAGGTAGGTATTCTAAATATTTTTTGTTATCGCTATTTATAATGCCGCTTCCTATATACTAAATATAAAATGTATTGTAACTATATATCTGTATTCCAAATGATGTAATGGAAACTATTTTTCAACTTGACGACTCTGTATATAACAATACAGGGAGAAAAAACAGCCCTTGCTGAGTTTTTTTGCCTGTTCTTCTCTGTACAAGGTCTCCCGCCGTAGTTTTGCGAACCGATGGCGTAGCTTCTTGACCTTTACAAGTGCTTGTAACAGACTAGACCATAAATGATTTTTTGATTTTGATATCAGGCAGAGCAGTATTAGCAACAAAACTAAATACAAAGACTAGACAAGTAAAGATAAAGGTTCTTTTGTAGTATCAAAGCAGGTGATTCAGATGACCAATCAAGATTTTTCATTATTATAGATCAAGAAGCAAAGTGGTCATCGCCAACCTCAGAAATAATACAACCTGCGACAAATCTGATCAACTATGGCGCTAATGCCACTGTGGCATGCAAAGTTGTGGGATTCCCGAAGCCCACTATAGAATGGGAAGATGACGATGGAAACAGTCTGACATCGGAGGTGAATATTCTGAAGATTTATGTTAAGACGAAAACATTAAACCCCTCGTTTGTATTCTGCCCATTATGTGAGTTCTGCCAATGTCAAGCCTGCCAAAGTGGCGGATTTCGGCCACGCAATATTATTTTATTCGCTTCGTCCCCACTAGAGTTCTATCTAATAGATATTAGTTAATCAAACGACGCGATATCAAACAATCGAACTAATCAGCCGAGAGCAACGACGCAATCAAAACCAAGTTTTGGTCAAGTTATGTTATATCACACCTAATTGTTGCCCCGCCTACAAAGCCCTTCTAACCTCTTCCTATGCTCTGTGGATACTGGAAAAATTACTTGTGCTGCATCTCAAAATCTCTTTATTCGTAAAGAATAGTTGTCACAATAAGCCGGTGGCTTACTTATACTTATATTAAGTTAGTTATTATACCATTCTATTTCATACTTTCAGCCTGCGAGGCCACACATTCACGAAGGATTCCAAATAGTAAAAATCTCTAAACCAATCGCCACTGCATAGTAATGTTATTTGCTTAGGTTATTTGATTGCACTTTCTTCAAATTATTTTAACTTTGTTTGGTTTGTATTACAGGATGTATTATTGGAGATACCATCAATACACTTGAGTTATGCGAAAATAGAAAATATGTCTAGCAATTTCACGCTATATTGCAAATGTAAAAATGCTAATGGAAGCGATATGAGCAGTTTACCGATGTTTGTCAAGAGGACGTATCATTTTGATGTTATTCAATCCCCAACAGGTAGGATATTTTATAAATTTAATTTATCGCTACTACACGTTTTCCGACCAACCGATGACCATGCTTAGCTCTATTTAAGACCTGGTTGATAGCAAACAACCAAATCACAGCCACTTCATTAGTGAGGTATCAAATTGGAATGCTCTTCTGAGGAAGTAACCGCTACCTTCATACAGACCACAGTGGAAAATTGTTTACCTTTTGCTAATGGTGTGTTTCTGTCAGTAAGGTCCCAGGCTTCTTACTCTATAGGGAAAACGCTATGTATGTAAAACGGAGTATTTTAAACGTTATCAGAATGGAATAACGCACACAAACATGCTAAATTTGAGTGTTCAAATGTTGAAATGTTAAATATGATAATTAATGAGCAGCTCAGATTTTTGGGTTTTAATGTTAATTTGATGATGATAAAAAATAATTATTAAACCTTAAGTAGTGTTAAAATTTACAGAAATCTAAACGTCGACCAATAAAGTCCTTGGTTATTTTTTTGGGAATAGCGCTATAAAAATATCGAGTACCAAAAATAAACATGCAAATTTAGGCTTTGATATTTCTATTGCACTTATCATATATCCTTTGAATGTATAGAAATATTCTGTAACACAATAAAATAAAATTTAAAATGACAATAATGTTTCAGATCAGGCCGTAGAATATGCCACTGAAGGAAAGCTTTATTGTGAAGTAGATGCTTATCCCGAAGCTGAAATAATATGGCGCCGCAATGGGATCACCCTGGAGGATTCTAATAATGTCGAATTAAATTCCGAAGACAAAGCTTTGATTATAAAAAATATGACTCTGGGTGACGAGGGTAAATACACTTGTGAAGTCTCAAATGAGGCAAATAGAAAAGAGCTATCGGCCATCGTGACAATATCTGGTATAGGTAAGTTTTCTACTAATATTTATGATTATACATACATTTTTTCCGAGATTCGATAATATTACATCCGCATCATGTTGAAAATGTTTACATGAATATCTTATCAGAGATAAAACTTATTGTATTTTGATTACTCTCTATACTATAAAAACATTAAAGATCCTATAACTGTAACCTGTTGGTGATAAAACGTTAGCTTTTAGATTAAAGGGTCGCATTCCCTTCCAAACAAAACATTTTTTAGCCAAATTTTTTGAAACTCCCTGTACTCCCTTCTCCGCTAGTGGTAGTAATAACTTAAGCATTTTCTTTATAGAACCACCGCAAGTGAAACTTCCAGACGAATTGATACGGACACCGGAAGACCTAGTGGAAGTAAATTGCAGGTTTGAAAAGAATACATAGTTACAAATATTCAATACAACATAATAGTTTTGGCTTTAAAGTGCCAAACAGAGATAAGTGGATAACGAAAGATGTTCCACAAATTCCAAAGTCACACATCATCACGTTAACCAGTGTTTGAATCTAAATTCTTTCTGGAAAACAAAAAGGACAATTTGTCACTTATATTTGATTGATAGGAGAGCTTGATGGTGTAGGACCTACGCCGTAGGTGGTCAGCGCATTCAGCCTGCGATCGTGAAAATTAAGCATCTTTCGCAATTGTTGGTCAGTGGATGGGTGAGCAAAAAGTTATTATCAGTCAGATTTCCAACATGGTTTCAGAAAGGGACGATCAATTGATACAAATTTATCTTCAATAGTATGTTCAGTTGCACGGGACGTTGACAAAGGTCAGCAAGTCAATGCTATATTATATACTGATTTTAGCAATGCTTTCGGTAGGGTTGATCACCAATTTTTACTGACAAAACTGAGGAAAAATGGTGTAGGCTGTTCCCTGCTTAACTGGTTTCAGTCCTATCTTGCAAAAAGACCTCAGATGGTCGTAGTGAACGGATTCCTGTCCCGCTTCTATTATGCTGTCTCTGGTGTCCCACAGGGGTCGCACCTAGGTCCTATTTTGTTTCTCATCTTTATTAATCACCTCACTATACGAATCCAGCAGAGTAAAGTTTCTTTATTTGCAGACGATCTGAGGATTTTCAGTAGTGTTCAGAATTTTGCAGACACTGTTCTCTTACAAAGTGACCTTAACAACATCCAAGCCTGGTGTTGTGAAAATGGAATGACTCAGAATACAAAAAAAAAATCATATAAGATTTACGAAAAAAGTACGCCCTTTAAATATTTTTTAAAGTCTGGACGGTTAAGTAGATAAGATTCATCATAGTCAAAACCACTTCAGACATGAGCTACTGAATTCCATCTCAGCCTCATTAATATGAATTTTAATCTAATTTATTTTATTTATTCATTATTTTTTAATCAAATTTTAATCTTACGCTAGTTTAATTATTTAATTGGTTTTTTAAATTTTAATATTTTTAAAAACTGTCAATTTTATAATGAATGCTGTGTACACTCGTAAGTGGCTAGCATATAATAATTGTATTTATATTATTAATAATTTTGTAATACACATGATATGTATTGCTGTATGTGCACCTAATCAAATAAATAAATAAGTTATCTCCAGCTCCTCCGTGCTTCAGGAGGCACGTTAAGCCGTTAGTCTAGGCTGCATCTGCAGTCATTAGCACTCACCAATCCCGACTGGGCTAGCGTGGTGGGTAACGCCCTAGTCTCCCTATTCTATCCATATGAAAGGCTTGTGCCCCTGCAGTTGGGACATAAATAGGCTGATGATGATGATATGATGCTTTATTAAAAATTATATTTTGTTGTATGACAATAATCAATAGCAAATGTTTTAATACATAGGTTACATAGGTACAAAAAATAAGATGAAATCTTTTCATTATTATTACAGCATAGAACAAGGTTACCCAGTCCCAAACGTAACATGGGAGTTCCGATCTAATGATTACGAAGAATTTGGCGAAATTCCATACGATGCTGACGTCGAAAACAATATTCTGAGGATATCTTCAGCAAAAATCGAACATAACGGAGAATATAAATGTATAGCCGTGAATATGTTAGGAGAACATAGTAGCACAGTATCCTTGAAAATACAATGTAAGACCACATCTTTATTGTGACACTAGAATTGAGAAAATATTTTGGATATATTCTCGGATGTAAAATTATCCTCGTGTTCCGTATATCTACCTGAGTTGTCTACCTGGTTGATCAGTTATAAATTAGTAAACAAATATTTGGAAATATTTCAATACTAGCCCGCGATTTCGTCTGCGTTACTTTTAGTTTTTTGAGAGTCCTTCAGCTACCTAACAGTTTTTCAGAATAGAAAGTACACTGTCTCAATTCGGGTAACAGAGCATAGGTGTACCAAATATCGTCCAAATCCGTTCAACTATTTTTGGATGATTATGTTAAAAACATACTAAAAATCATAGATGAATGATTGGTCTTGCTTCACAAGCGAGACCAATCATTTATCTATGGTACAAACTTTCACATTTAGGGCGCTTTCAATTTATGCGTTTCTTGACGGCCTGCTGCGGTGCCGAAGCGGTGCGTTTATCGTACAGCGTACGGACGATCCTTTTTTTTCATACTAAACGCGCGGTGCGGCAACAGTCCTTTTGTCGAGCGTTCGCGGTACCGGCGCCGCACTGTTGCCCTTAAAAGCGCCCTTATTAGTATAAAGGCTTGTCAGTTTATAACGAAAGAGAGTTTATCAATAAATAAAATTTAGATTTTACCTTAAACAGTCAACAGCACATTTAAAAATTATCATCACCCGCTTTCGAAAAATAAACAATACCAATAAAATTCAATCTTTTGCAGATGCACCGAAAATAACAGACAGCGATGATAGCTCCGTTGAAGTAACACAAGGTGATGAAGTGGAGCTGCCTTGCGAGGTGGACGCCATCCCTGACGCCTCAGTGAGATGGGAGCTGTACCAGGATGATGTCATCATCAACTTGGACGACCGCCATACGACAGATGATAAACACACACACAAGCACGTATTTGAAATTATTACATTATGCTCCCATACCTGCACGACGAAGCTTCATGCGCTAAAATGAGCGTTCGCCGTAACGAATTAGCGGACTGGGTGTCTGTAGACGCTAAACGATAGCTTGAATGGTGAAAGTTCATACGCTAAAAGAGGTTGTGGAAAACGATTTTGTATGTGCAGCTTTAGTACACTCCGTACTTAATTGAAGGAGTTTAGTAAAACGCATTTTAGCACCAAATCCACTCGAAGCTTTGTCCCGCAAGCGTGGGATACGAATGAGATTCAAAAACTAATTATTAAAAAAAAACTTTTGGCCAACACGAGATTACACACGATGATGATGGCACGGTAATAATATCATACAGTATTCTATCTTCATACAAACGGTCGGAAAGCGAGTCATACGGTCATACCTACGCCACTCGAGTTCGATGTTCGATGTGCTCTCGGCGTGCACCCAGTCGTGAATGCGCCGTCGCGCCGCAACGACGACCGAACGGTCTGAATTTTTTTTTATGCAGTTAGCCGTGCTTAAACATGCGTTTTGTATTGTAAATATTTGATTTAATTAAGTAGATACCTACATAATTTAGTATGGAAAAGAACAAACGACGATCAATATCGTACAACAGCACAATTGCTGTTTTTGGTTGCTTGAACTCTTCAATAACACACCCAGAGATATCATTTTTTAAATTACCTGAAATATTGGAAAGGTGTCTTACCTTTATAGAATATTTTTTATATACCTATCTACTAGTACGTTATTTGTTTCTAATATTTAGGTATTTCGGTTTTTCCATCGGGCAAAATATCTGGAATAATATATAAATAGGTGGTTAGGATGAAAAAGGAGACAAACGAGTAATCTACCTACACTCGCGTTAAAAACAAAACTACATAAAATACTGTAGGCTGGCGGCCCTATCGCGTGCCAACGCAGCGTTCGGTGTAGGCATTTATTTTCAAGGACAGGGCGGAGTCACTATACTGTATAGATAATATTACCGTGATGATGGCGAAAATCATTTTATTTTAATTTAAGTTCATCTGTCAAAAGTATTTTTATTATCAGCCCCATCAGGCGAGACCAGCAAAAATCATGTAGCGGCAAATATTATTTTTCGGAGTTATTAATGTTGCTTAAAGTTTTACAGAAATCTAATCATCCAATTGGCTATAAGAGATTTGAAGAAATGCGACGACGCGTTTTTATTTGTGTTTATCATATTTCAGATTTACCGCTCAGTGGAAAGACTCTGGCAATTACCATTGTATTGCCCAAAACGACATGGGATCAGTAGAAAAACACATCAAAGTTAATGTTCTGGGTAAGTGGAAGTGTTTAGGTAAGTTCCGTTCAAAACAGATTGTATGGTCACGTTGGTCAAAATAAAATCAAACTCGTTAATTCAGCACAGTACACGGATACATATTGTTAAAGGACAATGGCGAAATATTTGTTGAAGTAAATCTATAGCGTCTATAGATGTCATTATCAGAAATTTTAATAAAATAATCTCAAAAGATTTATTAAACAATTGAGGAGGGTTGTCTAAGTCTGGAATTAAAAACTTAAAAAAAGGGAAACACAATTGACTATTTATTTTTTATTTTCATTGTGGCTTGGCCAAGATGGCTTTTGAGCCATTCATTTTAAGTGATTTTAGTGATGAAATCAACTTTAAATATGTTGTTCGTATGTTTTGCATCGCTTTACGCTTGAACTGTATTTAATTATCTATCAAAAATATCGGGAAACATTATTTTTCAATATTATACTGAAACCATATTAAATAATCTCCACAATATAAAAAGAGTATGGCGACAATTCTAACGAAAAAAAACTATAACTGTCACTGTCATGCTTGTCATCGAATTGTTGTTGTTATTGTTATCATTATATCAAAGAGTAGTATAATATACATTATATAACATTGTTTGTGCTTAGGTACCCGTGTTAGGTGCATGCTGTGGGTGCATGCATATTGCAAAGATTTCAATCGGCGTATTGTGTTTTTCTGAGATTTGTTTTTTTATGTGACTTGGACTGTATTTGGACTTTCGAAATCTTTCTCTGCGACTGTTGAGTAGTGCTTGCCTAAGACTTCCGAATCTGATATTTTGCTGTGGATTTTGGACACGATTCTGTCCCATACTGTGGATTTTATTTCATTGTATCTACGATATTGTGATCAACGATGTGGAATAAAAAATATATAAAAAGTGTTGCATATTTAATTATTATCCCATTAGTACATTATTAGAAATCCTTTTTTATACTTTATTATTGCAGTGGGCATTTTCAAATTGTTAAGTACTTCTTACATCACAAACATTGTATTTGAACTCAATAACTCTTGTCTGATAATAAGAATTTTGACGCGGTTGGTCAGTACCTACGCCAAAGAAAGAAAGAAAGAAAGAAAGCCAACTGATCATACATTGTAAAAAACATTTTTTTTCGTCACTAATCTTCAGGACCGGTATACTTCTATAGTTCCGTTCCACGTATTTTTTATTTTGATATAAAAATACTCTTGAAAATACTTTTATAATTCGTTTTTGCATTACTTGGTAGGACATAACCTCCAAAACTTCAAAGTAGAATATCTATAAATCCAGACTTCCTATAATATAAGAAATAAGATGAATCAAATCAAGAATGTAAACTCTATAATTTAGCAGAAATTCATTTATAGACGCAAGAAAAAATTTCAACGAAAAATTGTATGGGAGTTCGCCATTGTCCTTTATGATTTTACAAAATAACAAAAAGGGACAGACAACTTACAATAAATACAAATTGACATGGACTATACTCGATCGACTCCGGCACATTTTTTTTGAGTCTGTATGCTGTTGGACGCAGCTGGCCTTAACAGCATCACCGGCTTTGGGGATGGCAAGATCCTAAGGGGTCCTCAAGCCGAGAATTGGCGAGTGCCTCTAGAGGTATTCCAGGCAGATGGCATCTCCCCACGGGGGCAGTCTCCTCTCCGTCTGGAGCTTCAAGACCACTCGAACCTGAGGGGGTCGGCTCAACTAGGACTCGTGAGACTCGGACCTCGGCTCTAGTTAGCCGTTGTAGTGAAATTCTGGCACGGCTCTCGAAACCTAAACTTAAACTTGACAACAGTGTAACCCTGTACCTATAGAGAATGAAAATGAGAGAGCGATGCCTAATTCAGTCCTAAGTTTTAATCATGCCAGAATCGACATCACTATTCGTACGAGTATCTACAGTTGCGTTGAAAAGGGCCCAGTTCAGCATCATGTCAGTACAGTGTGATCTGCTGGTTAGCTGGTTAGTCATGGCCCATTATCCCTAAAACATCAAAATAGTTATGAAAAGCCTGTGCTTCAGCAGTGGGGATATTAATAGGCTGATGATGAGTAAATGAAAATAAATATTATGACACTGCTGTATATTTTTAGTGCCTCCATTTATTCAGGAAGAGTCGAAGGATGTGACATTGAGAACCGGTAGCAGTGTGGCTTTCAATTGCTATGTGGATATATATGGAAACCCAGCTCCCACTACAGTATGGGAATTCATCAATGTGGACTCTGTTAAGACAGTGCTGAAGAGGTGAGGACACTGAGGGTTTTCTGGAACGACTGTAGTCTGGTGGCAGCGCTGAGGCGAAAGGTCTACTCATTCGTCAAATTGCGAATATGTTATCTTAGTTTATGGACCAATTTTAATGCTCGTTTGATAAGTTCGCGCCAAAAACTTCAAACAAAAGACCTTACGTCACAGACGCGTCAACTAGTGACATGAATTTTTCTAAACACGCTCATTGATCAGATCCTTCTTATCTTGATATCCTCACTTTCTATATCCAACTAATATTATAAATATGAGATTTTGTATGTTTGTTACTCAATCACGCAGTTATTTTTACCCCGGAAAAATTTAAGGTTCCTGTGGGATTCACATAAAACTAAAAAGTTAACGCGGACGTTTGTTCTTGTGCTAGTACGTTTGTTCTTGTGTTCCTATATTCGGAGATATCTTTGAGAACTGTGAACCGATTTTAAAAATTCCATTTTTATACGAGTCAGTTTTTTTTTTGTCTTGTTCTGGATTTTTTGTTGCTGCATGTTTAAGGCAATATAGAATTTTCAATTTCATTACTCATTATCTTTTTTTTTTCAGAGGTAACTCGAATACAACACTGTATCTGAACAACGTCAGCAAAGCCAACGAAGGCCTCTATCTGTGTATAGTTCGAAACAAAGTCAGCTTTGACAGAATAAGGATAAATGTTACTGTACACTAGTATTATTAAAGGAAAACAAAATTTATATTATTTCCAGCTGATTTTTCAATTCCTCTGGACCTATGGCCTAACGTGCTGCCTCCACCTGCGCCTATCAACCTATCTATCATATTAAAAGACCTAAAAGTGTATAATTATGAGATTGCCGGTACAAAACGTACAGGCGCGGTCCCTAAAAATTTTTTTAAGCTATTGTATAGCTTTTATCGCTGGCTTTGAGCGCGGCGACCGAATCAAAAAAATCTGTAACGAAAAAACCTTTTTGCCAGATCCCAATCCGTCGGTTCAAATCACGCACTCGTATTTGTTATTTTTTATTTTTTTCCTTTTTTTATATCGACGCTTGAAAGGAAATATTGACTAAGCGACATTAAGCTAACTTTACAGGAGAGGAGTTTAAAGTTAGGATTTTCAGAAAAAAAATCGTATAAATTCTTGTTATCATCCCACAGACGCAATTTCGACTGATTCAGAAATCTTATTTTATGGTCTACATCGAAGCTTAAACAACAATTCAAGAACTTTCTTGGTTCAAAAGTTAAGTGTCGCTTAGAAAATTTTACCTAAAAATGGAGACGGGGAAAATGTACTAAACGACAAGCATTGGTCTAGAAATGTAAAGTCAAAATGTAATATAGAGAAGTTATAAATAATGATATCAGAGCAAAAGTTACCTTACCAAAATCAAAAGGGTTTTGAAATGGAGGCAAAATTGACTAAACTGTTTTTTATTTATTGTTGTTTCTCAGCAAATTTTACTTAGTAACACTTATCATCGAAATTAGGATCATAAAATATTAACAGAAATATAAATAAAAATGCTGTTATAATCAGTTTTACTATATTTAGTAGGAAAATTTCTTAGTTTCTATTAGTTCTTAATAAAATCATCTTTAAGACTTAGGCCCGTATTACAGAATGACAAATAAGTGTTGATCTTTACTTGATTACAGTTAGAAAGAGATGTCGCTATGCGTTATATATAGCGACATCCCTTTCCAAAAAAACTATGCTCAAAAATAGATCAATCACTGAGAATCTTTCTATAATACGGGCTTTAGAGTCCCTGTTCATAATTAACATAATTGCACATTATTCTTTAGGACAACTTAAAAAGAAAATTAAATGTTTCATAGCCACTCAAAATGCTTTTTAGGACATTGCAAGTTTAACTTTTTTCACAATCATAATAATGTGTGCGAACACCATTGTAACAACAAATTAACGTCTATATGTTAATAAAATCACAGTCAAAAATTAATACTTATTAACAGGTATGTAAAAATATTTAGCCTGTGAAGCTGAAACAAAATATACTTCTAAAAAAATCGAACTTAGATGAAAAATAATAATAAAGGCAAATAATGTTCAAGATTCTTTACTCGAATCAGATGTTGAAAATGAAAAAAAAATCTAAATATCCACAAACTCGGTATCTTCAACATCTGATTCAAGTAAAGAATCTTGGACATTATTTGCCTTTGGCATAATCGAGTACTCTTGATGAAATTGAGCGGGTATTAGTTTATCTTTGCAGAGTTTAATTAGATCGTCGTGTTTAGCTTTTGATATCGACAACTGTGATCGGTAGCAAGACATTAGTGGACCCTTAGTTTTGGATTGAACTTCAATGTCAAAAGAGCTTGCAGAAATATTCATTGAATTTTTTATGGAAATTGTCAAGGGCCTATTTTTCTTGAATGTCACGATACGAACTTTACTAATTTTACCAGTCAAATTCCCTTTAAAGTATTTGTCGCCAATAATATCCCATTTAAAAAAGTTTTTGAAAGTCAATTGTTCAACGTCATATGGAAAGGGCTCTTTTCGAGCTGTAGTAAATATCGTGTACCATTGCGATGGTGCATAAATCATAGTGTTCTTCAGATTTTTTTCTATAACCGTGTGCCCTGTTAGTAAGTAGTTGATTTGTATTGTCTGAAGATTTTTGCATTCTTGCATGGTAGAATGTATCATTGCTAAGACAGTGCGGTTCCTATTCTGACCAGGGCAACAGTCACAGTATAGAAGAAGGTGTTTGATGTTTCCTCTTTCATCTACAGATTTTATGTAACTGTGGAGGATACTTGCTATTTCATTTGCACCTCTTTTTCCGTTAGTTTCATCCCAATAATAGCAGAAAACTCTACGAGTTCCATTCTCGTAAAAGCATAAATTATAGACCGCTATTTTTCTCGAATAATAGAATAACATTGATTCTCCATGAGGCGTATTCAAGACCTTTTCTAAGTCGAAACTTGCACATAGTGTGGAAGGATCATGTCTGTGTATAGATTTATGAGTCGAAAACCTATTAAAGCTTTCTTCTTTTTCAGTTTCATGATCTTCCTTTTCTTTGGCTTTTTTTGGATCATTAATATCTGCTTGTTGCAGTTGTAGGCACTTCAAGCACTTATCTTTTTTAGGGATATGAAACGCGATATTAAACTCTTCGGTAAATATTTTCCGAAAAATTCTTTCGCTTACTACATCTGTGCCAGCATTCACATAGCGTATTCTATAATTGCTGTATAAGCTGGAAACGGTTTTTGTATTCCTGAGGTAAGTAAACTCGGTTGGAATCTTGACGACAGTAATGTGAAGGAACTGCTGGTAGACTTTTTATAAAATTAACAACAGTCTCTTTAGTAGAAGGCTTAGTTTTATTAGGCGGTATACACTTTCCACGCAAGTCGTCTCTAGAAGTTCCACAATTAGCATTTCTAACAGTGTAATATATACACTTTTGTGATATATCTAACGTTGCTGCCAAAAACTGTAAGCATACAACTCTTTTTCCTTCTCCTTCAGTAATACAATACCTAAATGTATTAGAACGCTTCTCTGAATCAACACGTTTACGTTTAACGGGTTCCCTATTAGTCATGCCAACCAACCAATCTCTACGCCTTTCAGAGGGAAGCGTCCAAAAATGATTGAATACTTGCTGTCTTTTTTCTTCAGTTACATTTTCACAGTTGTTTCCACATTTTTTACCCTTGCATGGATTGGGTTGAATTGTTTTTTCTTGCACAATTTTACCATCTGTTCTCGTGTACGTCTTTCCAGATTGTTTCAAGGCTGACCTTTCCTTTCTCGTGTTTTTCTTCTTTCTTTTCAAACCTCTTTCTCCTACATTTTCATCGTCAGCATTCATGTTTTCTTTTGTAATATTATCTTTCTCATCACTTTCATTTTTGCTCAACAGTTTTCGTTTATTTTTTTTATTTTTTTGTGGTTTCTTCTTTTTTGTCTGGTTTTGTTCTTCACTACTATCTGACACTTCTGATCCTGCCCATTCATCTGAATCAGTTACAGTAGAACCAAATACTGTGGAGAAATCTTCATCAGACATGTAGTCCACGTATCGGCTACTTGTTTTGGCTTTTCGTTTACGTCTACTACCACCTGGAATGGCACCATCAATCCGAGGTAAGTTCTTTCTACGCGAGATTTTATCATGTTGCGGATCATCTGCGGCGGCATCATCTATCGAAGGTATGTATGGGGGGATAGTTTCGTCATACTGCGAGGGGTCAAGATCTATGATGGCATCATCTACCGACGGTAAGTATGGTGGGGTAGTTCCTTCATTTTGCGAGGGGTCAGGTTCAGGGACGACATCATCCGTCGAAGGTGAGTTTGTTGGGGCAGATTCGTTATTCTGAAAGGGGTCAAGATCTGTGGTGGCATCATCCATCGGTGGTGGGTTTGGTGGGGCAGTTTCTTCACTTTGCGAGTGCTCAAGGTCTGAGGTGGCATTATCTATCGTCGGCAAGTGTGGTGGGGCAGTTTCTTCATTCTGCGAGAGAGCAGGTTTTGCGGCGACATCATCTATCAACAGTAAGTATGTAGGGGTAGTTTCTTCATTCTGCGAGGGGCCAAGTTCTGCAGCGGCGACATCTATCGACGGTAAGTATGGTGGGGTAGTTTGCTCATTCTGCGAGGGGTCAGGATCTGGGGTAGTTTTATCCATCGAAAAGTTTAGTGGGTCAGATTCGTGCAAAGAGTCAGGATCTATGGCGACATCAGCTATTAAAGGTAAGTTTGGTGGAGCAATTTCTTTTTTCTGCAGTGGGTCGAAATAAATCGTCGAAAAACCTGCACCATCATAAGAATCAAACTCTGTGTGATCAAAAACTTCCTCAGGGTTATAGTTCTCTGCATCTTCGGTAATGCGTCGTGACGCTGTCGGTACAATTGAAGTGCAGTTGGATAGTATTTTATTCTGAAATAAATTAAAAATGTTCTATTATTTTATATCTAAAATTTAGGTAGGTACCTACATTGTTCAAAGTTTTATCCTGTCGCGCATGTATTCTTTTACACGATTTTCCAAAATATATAAATTTATAAAACCTCGATCACGTCGTTTGGTCATTTTGTATGGGATGTAGAGAAATATAAGGTCTGGAAATTGGAAGCCGTAGAATAGAAATTGATTAAGATGATGTCTAGATAAACGATTCTTGTATAATTAATTGATGTCAATACTTACACATACTTTTAATTTTGATTTATTATAACTGTTTTCCTTTGATTCCAATGCCCTAGATTTAACTAGATATTCAACTCTTTTACGGTTTTTCGAGTTTGCTTTTCTAGACGTTTTAGAGGCCTGAAACAGGGAAAAAGTTATTATTATTAATAGATAATTAAAGCACTAGAATATATTGCATGACATGCTACACAGAGCCATCTAACCTCAAACGTAACAGCTCGAGGCTTGTGTTATCGGATTTAAGGGTAAGAAATAGATTACATGTACTGAACTGATACATGTACTGAGAAGTACTAGCGGCCGCAATAATTTTAGTTTTTTGAGAATGGAGAATAGCCCACGGGAAGCTGTCATTTTTCCGAGATAAAATCTAGCCTATGTCTCAATCCAGGTAATATACTACATGTGTACTAAATTTCATCCAAATCCGATCAGTAGTATTTGCGTGAAAAAATAACAAACATCCATATTACAAACTTTGGCATTTATAATATTACTAGGAAGTAGGATATTTATCTAGAAACTAAAACTTAGGTTCAAACCCTCGTATTCATCATAGTAACATTTTCCTCACCAGAATTCGAACCCGGAACTTCTGAGTAGGAGAAATCGACAAAGCCTTGAAACCCGGCGTAATAATACTCTGCCACGAAGATAATAAAAAATAAAAATACTTACTTATTACATAGAGAAAATACCCAGGTCAATACAAACAGACATGATCATGCACACAAAATTGCATCTCATAATAAAATCTGATATTCAAAAATATAATAATACCTACATTTAGATACAACTATCTGAAAACCATGGACCATGCATGACTGTTTGGCCCGGATAAGTATCGAACCCAAGACCCTCAACATAATAGACAGGGTTACTAAAAAAAATAAAGCCTATCAAATCATGAGTACAAAAGCTACAAAATGTGCGTAGGTACATACCAATAACTGTTGATTAACATTAATTCCCGAGCATTCGAGAGCTTGTTCCAAAATATTACATACACGTTTTCTTCGCTCCATTGCATTGATCTGAAACACACATAATGCTGTATTTTAAAAGGAACAACAATTAAAAAACTATTTAAATAAAAGTTCATGCGGTAAACTTACAGATACAGTATTTCTTTATTGTAGGTGGGACGAGCGCGAGTGGTAGTAAGAGCGTGATTACAACGCGTGCGTGTTGTCGAAGCGACGTCCCATCGCACACTGTAGTATCTTTGTTCCTGTGTAACTAACTTCACGGTATGCGTAAGCGAGCGCGCACGAGGCTCCCGTAGGTATAACCAATATTTTGTCAGTGTATTCATTCAAGTAAAAATAGTTTAAACACCTGTTGCGAGGTACCCGTAGGGTATAACCATCAATCAATAATACCATAACTACAAGTAAAACTTACCTAAATATTAAAACAATATTGTACAACGGCAGGTAATAATTTACTAACCGACAGAAAATGGTGTACATAAGATCGGTAATCAAAGGTGAACAAGGTGTGTTGTATAAAACAAAAATAGGAGATTTTAACTAAACGCCATCAAAAAACAATTTGAATTCAGTCAATTTGAGATAAGCGATTACAAAAAATATTCTTTGTCAGGAAGAAATTTACCATATTCATAAAACTAAATTTACAGGTGTAAGCAAAATAAGCTAAGTAAAGAAATTATCGCAACCACAACATGCAAATAATTACCAAGGGCAAAACTTACTTGTAATAGCTACGCCAACCAACAATTTAAAAAAAAATTACAAATTTTTTGTCTCTTAGAGACAAAAAAAACTGAAAATTCTTAAAATTCGTTATGCATAAGCGACATCAAAAGTCGTCGTAGAAATACGTGAACACGACCAATCGACGCAGAAAAATCCGACGGTTCCAACTGTATATTTAACTCAATATGACCAAAAATGTCGCTTAGTCAATATTTCCTTTCAACCGTCGATATATATTTGTTTTAGACCCCAGCACCCGTTCTTATTTTTATTTGTCTCCCTTTTATTTAGACTTTATAATTATAATTAAATTTTTTGGACTAAAGATGGTGGTAAACTGTGGAGCTTGTGGAAGTTTTTTGGCGCCGGGCAATGCTGTTGTTTTCTGTGCTTGCCCAATAAAATATAATAAGGCCTGCCTCGCCATCCCGGAAAAGTCGAGTGTCAGCAAGGACTGGATATGCCCGAACTGCAAGAAGAGCACACGCAGGGGTGACAACACGCATACGCCTGTAAATGGTATCAGCGAATCTTCCGAGCCCGAAAAACCGGTTGCTGTCGACCTGGCTAGTGGCTCTCCGAAGAAAGATGAGGTCCAGGGTAAAGCCAAGGAGAACGCAGCCAGAAATAATCACACCAGTGATATAAAAAGTATGCTGGCCGACTACATAAAGGAGACGAGGGATTTAGGCTCAGAGATGGCGCCCTTCCGCAGTTCTTTTACCGCTTGGCTTGACTCCTTCGAGTAGAAAGTTGCTGTGTTGGAGCAGCGTCAAGTGGATCCTGATGCAACTGGTAGGATGGACTTGGAGTGCACCATATCCGAGCTGCGCGCCGAGGTTAACGACCGCGATCAGGAGGCGTTGATGTCCGGCCTGGAGAGAAGAGTGGGGCATCAGCGTGGAGCAGAGCGTCACCATGCTAGCCGTGCGGCTGGGAGTGACTCTCGACAGGCGGGACTTGGTGTTCGCGGAGCGTGTGGGCGCGCTGCCCGCACGCTCTTACTGTATGAGTTCCTTTTAACATGTTGTATTTTTTAAGGGTTTATAAAAAATATTTTCTTTCTTTCTTTTAACACCCCCCACTCCGACCGGCACAGCGGTGCGGCGTTGAAAGCCGTGGATCATCTAACGTCGTTTCATTTCGGCAGACTTCGGCACGGTGTTTGTGTGCGTGCGACTAGACGTATGCGTGTAGACTAGCTGCTAACTGCTCATAACTGATTCTATCTCTTTTAGACATAATACTAGGTTAGATAGCGTGCTTTTTGGCCGCATCCACGAGTGAGTTTGAGCCAGCGACTAGTTGAACCTTAACGTGCATGTATATGGTACGACTGCACGAAGCTTGCATGTAAGATTATAAAAATATTTTAAACAATATATTAACTTTTCATTTATTCAATAAAATAAAAATAAAGTTTTCTTATCGGTCACCACGCTCAAAAAGTGTAACATGAATTAATATCAAATAAAAAACTTGAATTTATCGAAGAAAAAAAAACTGCATAAATAAATAATAACAATTGCATAAGTTGATTCGAAATGCTATGCAATAGCTTCACCGCGGCAGTCCCCCAGTGCCACACGTATTTTTATTTATTTATCAAAAAAATTACATTCAAAATTATATTATATCTGCCAAACTGCAACGCAGTTTGTCGGCAGAGTTCTCGTAGAAACATTATTATATTTATAATCATCATACTCTATAATATAAATGTTAATTTTTCTATGACAGAGAAACAAAAATTATATAAAAAAAAGAAAGCAATCAACTATTTTTTTTCTCTCTTCTTAATATCCCTTTGGTAGGTAGCATATCTTAACATACTTCAATAACCTTCTATAATAGAGTGAATGAACACTTCCAACATTTACACCAATTACCTTAGCCTAGCCCCAAAGTAGTACTAGCACTATAAGGGGGCCTTTGACTGGTTTAAGAAAAGGAATTCACTATATTTCCTAATGGTTATGGAGTCAATAAAAAGTGGATATTCAACATTCTGTGGTGAAGATGCCGCGAAAAAGTTTCTCTGGACATAATGGCGTCTCACTAATACGGCACTATTTAGGAAAAGTGTGTTTTGCAATGCTCCTTATATTTATAGTAAACTACCTGAAAGTGTGCGAGAAATTACCGTGACCAATATATTTAAAAACATATTACAATACTTTTTAAAAGAAAAATGTTACTATTCGGTCCGGGAATTTTTAAAAAAGACAAAGGTTTTTAGACTAAGTACCTATAGCAAAAATGACAATGCATGAAATAATTACAATCTTAAATTTATCGTTTATAATGCGATTCAACTAAGAATAGGACCGACTGGGTGACATATTGTGATGTCTTAGCTGTCAATTCAAACCAAATAGGTAGAGTGAGCAAAAAAAAGTTTTTATTTAATAAAACTTATTTACTAAGATTAAGTGAGAAAAAGCATCAGATTTTTTTAATAATATTTATTTACTAAGATTAAGAAAAAAACGATTTTTAATAATATTTATTTAGTCAGACTGTGAGAAAAAACATTAATCAAAATCTACCTCTTCTATTCCGCTCATCTCTGCATTACCACCGGAGTAGTTATAATTAATCATGCATTATTACTAGGTCACAAACGAACATGCATCCTTTATGTAAACGAAAGTTTGAAATCGAGTTTCTAAACGCAACTTAGTGACATTTGGTTGACGATTTAGGTTATCAACCATTCATGGCCAACGCTCAATAAGTGAAAAAAAAAATATAAACCGATATTAATTATCAATATTTGTTATTGTTTGTTTACTAGTGTTTGGTTTTTATTCTTGAATTAGCGGAGTGCTAAAAAGGGTTCCAGGTTTTTTTGCAAACCGTACTTTTCAAGCGACATTTGACAGATAGAGGTCATTGGCTTTCCTATTGTTATTTGAATCGCATTATATTGACATTTAGAATAAACTATGTTAAATTCATTCATTTGACATTGTGGGTTACCTACAATGTAAAGAGATGGCGCTGCCTTGCAGCTTAAGAATGGCTAGAGGAATTTCGACGCGGCCCTCAGGGCCGCGGTAGCATAATTAGTCAGTGCGTTCGCCCGGATAGCGAAGAGTGCGGGTTCGAGTTAAGTCTGCTGCCTGGTCCGCGTGGAATTTTTTCTAGTTATATTTTCTTTAGATTTAAACATCGAGCAGTTACATGCTTAAAAAAATATGTTAAATTTATTTGAAATAATTAAATTAATGATTTATAGAAATATTATATTGCATGCCGATAAGGCAGAATATGGCTGTACTGTACTAAAATGTATCCGTGTAACAACTTTGTAACCTATATTCGCAATAAAGATTATTTGATTTGATTTGATTGACTGGTATGTGACTTTACAAGACTGTCATTAAAACGTCAAACGATATAATGTAATGTCACATGAACCGGAAGTTTACTATCATGTGCCGTCATTTTAAGCATTTTACTGCCAGATGTTTAAAAGTAAACAAAATTTTACTAGAAAAATATCCACACGGAGCAGACAGCAGACGGGACTCAAATCCGCATCCTTTGCTATCTGGGCGTATACACTGACCATTATGCTTATGGCAAACAAGGTATTCATTGGAAAGAAGAAATAGAAATAATAGTTATATTCTTATTTGTAAGCAACTTACTAATTATATATTTCTATAAAGGCTGTTTCTTTTAGTGTGTCAAGCCAGTGCGAGCTGAAAGCAGAGTACCATACCTATCAATTTAATCCCCATGTTTGTTGTTTTACGATTTTTCGTAGTTTCGAGTTAGATTTTTTTTCGTCATTTTTAACGATTCAACGATGAGACAACTTGGATAAAGTATAACTTTGTTTTGGGTCGACTTTTATTCGTTTTTTTTTTTAACAGAATGCCTATTGTTTGTAGTTTTATAAGTAAAATAATCTCCTTCCTTACTTTAACCTAAGATATAAAAATTTTGATCGATACTTAATAAAAATGGATTAAGTAAAACAGAATGGATTTTCAATTAAAATAAAAAAAATAGATGTTCCATAACATCTGACTAATTTTAAAAACTGGCCGACTTCATATGCTTTAATAAAAATACAAAAAAAGATATACTAAATTGGGCATTATTTGCTGAAATCTGTCGTTGAAGGTGTTGTATCGACACGATCAGGATTTGCTCTTAACGTTCTTGATATCTTTGTATTCGCCGGGTTACGGCCTTTTTCATAGAACTGGTGCCATCGGTCGATTATAATTTTTTTTCCAGTTTTATTTTTATAACATACTAGCTGTGCCCCGCGGTGTTACCCACAGTTTATTAGGGATATTTTCCCGCAGTAAAACGTAGCCTATTAGTTAATCCAGATCTCTTATCGAAATACTCTTTCCACAATTTGTAACATTCTTCTTTTGAAACCTTTAACCAATCCGTGAAGAAAGGAATATGGTTTATTGTTTTCCCTTCGTTACTGCCAGTTTTTGCAGCTTTGTCAACAAGTTCATTCCTTATTAAATTTATATGTGCCGATACCCAACCTTCTACCATCTCCATAAAAGCGCACCTTTGCACTTCTCAGGGTGAATGTAGCTATAGTGAATTGAAGCGCACACAAAATATAAGATACCTTGGAATAACTCTTGATAGTAATCTTAACTGGAAATCTCATATTCGAAATCTGACTAGTCGTGTTAGAAAACTAATTCCTATTTTCCGTAAGCTTCGATTCTCAGCAGACCGCGATATTTTGTTGTGTGTTTATTTTGCTGTAGTTCAATCATTACTTCAATACTGTATTTTGTGCTGGGGTGGGGTTGGTATTAGTTCACTGCTTCTGCTAGAGAGAGCTCAAAGGGCCATTATAAAAGTGATGCTGGGAAAACCACGTAGATACAAGGTAGAATGTCCTGTTTTGTCAGTGAGACGACTGTTTATATTGAGTAGCGTCCTGCGCAGACATAAAAGTTTGCAATACATTCAAGTCAAACGCAATAAAAGGAGGGTTTTCCCAATGGTGCCCCATAGAACTAGTTTTGCGAAAAGACATTACTGCATTATTAGCTCTGTGTATTGCAGTAAACAAAGCCTTCTTTTAATGACCTGATTTTGATGTTGTGGGTGATTGTGACAACTTTGAACTTTGATTTTCAATTTGATTTCGTTTATATATATATTAATTGTGTACTGTGTGTATTATTAAAAAAAAGAAAAAAAATGTGAAGGTATCCATTGAAATCTAATATTTGTTCCTTTTTCAACATGCTTGTAAGAATTGTTTTAAAATAAAATATGCTATAGGAAGTCCTCTCTTGCCTGATGTACATCTTGTTATATGCTTTAAAGCACTTATAGAATCCGTCAGTATTACAAAGCAGGGCTTGAAACCGGTTTCGAAAATACCGGTAAATAAAGGTTAATACCGGTTTTTTGTAAAGGATTCGTTCGGAGCGCGTCCGAAATGAAAGCGGTATCTAAAACCTTAATAAACCGGTTTAATCCAGAGCGACACGTGCACGTGTCGGCATCGCTTGAAGTATGTTTTGTTTGAACTAATCAAGTCACAACTAGTTAATGCTCAGAGATTGAAGCATTTATTGATACGTTTGCTAGCATCTAGTGAGTCAAGAAAAAGCGAAATGAAACCCTTTTAAAACCGCTAAATTTATTCAAAACCTATTTGATTTCGCTCTTTAGGAAAACCGGTTTTTTAAAGTTAAGGTACAGTCAAACCTAAATAAAGCGCTCCTAATGTACTTGACACTGATTTATCTACTATAAAGTTATGTTCATTACATGACAGAATATATATGACAAATATTCACAAATTGCATATAATTCTGCTCCCATTATTGATGTTTTATTACGTAGTTGAAAGCTCATTGTTGTATGTGTTTTATTTTATCAAGTGCTAAATGTGCGTCACAACACTAACTTAACCTAACTCACTGTGAGTTTCACAAACGTTCATTGGTATGTAGTTTAATCAGTGAGAATTATAATATCCGTCAGTCGTTTCATATCCAACTGAGTAGGCTTGCCCCACCGCTTGTTTAGTTAAGGTAAACACAGATCAAAATCGGTTTATTTTACACATTGCCGGTAGACCAGCAGGTACTATATACAATCCCTAGGAATTGTATATTTATAATGTTTTATGTATTACCTAAACGCCGCCCCGGGCATTTAATACGTATTTAATAAATAAGACAGATTGCCGGTGACTTAACATAATCACACTTATATTATAAAGGCGAAGGTTTGCGAGTGTGTGAGTGTGTATGTTTGTTACTTCTTCAGGTCTAGATGGCTTGATCTATTTTAATAGGTATGAAGTTAGCTGACACCCTGGATTAACAAATAGGCAACGTTTTACTGCGGGAAAATATCCCTAATAAACTGTGGGTAACACCGCGAGGCACAGCTAGTATATTATAAAAATAAAACTGGCAGATAATTTATAATCGACCGATGGCACCAATTCTATGTAACATGGGAAGTCCCCAACAAATAATTTAGTACACAGAACTTATTATTTCGTCATAATCAGCGTAATGTGATAAGTTTGTTTATACTTATAGCAAGTTTCTTCAGTCACAACAGTTCTCGCGATATAATTGTGTTGATAGCACATGTCGATGGAGGAAAAAAGTTTTTTAAGAAATCAGACAAAATGAATTCAAATTTTGTGTTGTTTTTATTAGTAGTATCGTTCTGTGTGTCTTTTGGTGAGATAGAAAAGAGCAGTTTGACGTTTGTTATAGACGATACAGGCTCTATGGGCGATGATATAGTTCAGGTCAAGAATGGTGTCAACCTGATATTCGACACTGTGACGAATTCAAACGCATCGCAAGTGGAAGATTTCATTTTGGTCACTTTCAATGATCCCAGTAAGTAGATATTTCAGCTGTCATCAAAAAGAAAAAGATTCTCTATTCAACATTTTTTTAAATTGGTTCACGTATAACTTCGGGATTCCATTACTGTTAGGGATGCAACGATCTCGTTACGATAACCGTGTATCGGCGATTATCGTTAACCTATCGTTTATTGAAGTGAAACTTCTTTCCGCACGCTTGTCTTGGGGGTAAGCTAGTGAATGTGTTACGCGTTACTAAAAGTGTGTTTGGGTGAGGCGAACGCGAGTTGAATAGGAGATATAAGCAAGAGAAAGCAGTGCGTGTGCACATTTTCTTTCTCTCTTTCTCTTATAGCTAGTAAATTAAATATGAATATGTACATACATGTATATATTGTACACACACACACACACACATATATATATATATATATATATATATATATATCAAAATATATCCCAGGACATGTAGATCTGATGAGTGCTTTATAAAAAACAAAAAATGTATTCCTTAATCTGGGCATTAACGTTTGGTTTGGTTATTTTATAAAAAGAGATATCACTAAACTTGCCTAGTAAGTATCTATTTTTTAGTAAGTTGATTTTGGTATATCAGTTCCTATTAAACAATACAGAGTTCTTAAAAACAAATCAATGAAATTAGGAAATTATAATTATCTATTACTTTAAGTCCTTCATTTAGGTTAAGCTTAACGCAGCATAGACCGAGATTGGGGCGTGATCCATCAAGCGGGTCCAGTGTGGTTTGGTGGATGCCAACGACTGCAGATGCAGCCGGGGCCAGCGTTTAATGTGCCTTGCGAAGCACGGAGGAACTCGAGATAATACGTTTTTGGTCACCTATCCCATAAACGATAAGTTCATACACAATCTGCGCCATCGATTTTCTGTCATTCTCATTTTCTTCATCAGTTTATTAACTGTATAAGCCCATGCTTCTTCTACATCTGCGCGACCAATGGGGTAGCTGTGGTAGGTACTAAATGCCCTAAAATAAGCGTTCGAAATTACAATTATTTCTGTCGTAGAGATACATCGAGCTGTGTGGCTATATAGCGCTAGGTGATAGCTTTTAAGACTGGACGCGAGTTGAAACACTTTTGAAGAATAGGAATTATTATATTGATAATTAATTATTAATTATACTGGTCCGCGTGTATTTTTTTCTAGTTATATTTTCTTTTGATTTAAACACCAAGCTAAGCAAAAATAAAAAAATCAACTAAATAGGAATTGGCGTCACGCATTGGTAAATACCGTGCGCTAGGGACAACAGTAGCTCCCAGGCGTAATAAGCGGCGACTCATAACTGGATCCCGCAGTTACGCTTGGAGGGCGAGGGGTAGATCAGGGAGTTGGTTTACCTGGTAGGTACGGGAACTGGTCGACTGGCTAGCTGTTCGGACTGCGGTTCGTGAGACTAGTCAGGTGACGCTGTGAACGGAGAAGCCCAGGATCGGCTAAAGCGGGTGCGGACCGGGCTGCTGGTCGAAGGCGGGGTGGTTTGAAGTATGCCACGCTTGCGTGAGTGCACGTCAAAGTATACCCGCACCGACAAGCTGCTGCTCGCCGCTTGCCGAATGCACCACGCAATTACCTGCATCGCGAGAGTTTGTTGACAGCAAACCAACGCGGCGTTGGTCATTGTCGTGGATATAAATAATACATTTTTTCTTCCCGTCATCGAAAAAAAAGGGACAACAGTAGCTAACGCTGAAAATTGCGTATAAAAATTGCAAAATTCGAGCATTGGCGGCGATTTCCTCCTAGAAAATTATTTTACAGGGATTCAACCAAAAACGCGTCTTAAGCGGGAAAGCGTATTACGGGATTGCGGGATAGGGAAATTTTGAATTGAGGTACTAAATGTACAATATTTAAGAATTATGTATGTCATAAAAATGTAGTGTATTATTATTACGTTATTTAAATTAATTATTTTAGTTTGACAAAAAGATTTTAAGGCATTAGCAATTACAAGATTGTCAACATAATTTAACTTTTGCAGTGCGTCTTCGATTTTATTCAAAGAAGTTAAATAGCATTTTAAAACATTAACTGCTGATAATACCTGACCGTGTGACAAAATCGGAGTTGACTCATCTTCTTGATCATTGTCACTTAGGGCCTCTTCTTGTGTGTAATTCACATTCTCATTGAATTTTATGCTGCCCCCAGAGGTAGTCGTAGCGTAGGTAAACTGAGCTTATTTCTGGTTTAGTAATAAGAGGAATAGATTGTAAGTACCAAAGTATTTATCTAGTAATTGGACTTGGAGATTTTGAAATTTTGAACGTTATCGTAGTTAGATAACCTGAGTAACCCAAGCTGCCGTTTTATAATAAGATAATTTAATCTCTAGTGCTTACACAATTAATGAAATTTTAAAAATTAAACTGTCACATCAATTATTTAGTACAAAACTACGCAGATGCATAGTAAGTAAGTAGCTATAGAAAATAATGAATTGAATTCTTTCAATAAATCCTTGTTAACTTAATAGTATTATTAACACTGAAAAAAATAAAAAGGAAAATAAAAATAAATCTAAATCCCGACTAATTAAAAATTACCTTAACCAAGAACTAAAAAAAAATATTTCCAGGAGTCAAAAATTCTGGTAAGGAACAAAGCTACTTTAACAGAGATATACTAGAATGTCGGCAATAACCCCGTCTGTTGTTTTGGACACTGGTGGCAACTGCCTTACATCGCTAAATTAAATAATTATGCAATAACCAGAGCAAAGTTTTTGATATATTTCATTAACTGGGAACTTTACACAATGGGCGCAGTGCGCATTGCTGGGTATTTTTTTTTAATGGAATAGGGAGATTGCGCCATGTTTCGGCCCGCGAGCCCTAATGCGGCAATCCGCCTTGGGCTCGCCCGTCGGTGGTATATAAATGATAATAAGCATAACTTAGTTCTAACCTATGATGTTTTATAGATACATTATACACTAAAAGTAAAAAGTAGCATAGGTCTATCAACTATTCATTATATTCATGTAAGTCTTGCGGTTTTTATGGCGCAGGCCAAAATAGCTTGCAGATGAGCGATTTTACCGTCATAAGGTGGCGGTTCGCGCCGCGACCACGACCGGAGACAGAGACGAGAGACCGAAGACAGCGAGACGGTCGCCGTCCCGGACCAGTAGTGTCTCGTGTCGCGCCCGAAATGGACACTAATAGCGAAAATGAACCTTGTTGGCCTCTAGTTGAATATAATTCGTTAATACATAATCTGTTTTTTAGTTTTGTAGTAATAATATAACAGCAAATCATCGTCTTCTTATTCCTCCAATCATAACTCTAGGTGGCGTTCCATAACATTATTTAATGACACACTAAAACACAATTCACTCCATCAAGAGACTCTACGACACTGAGGTGGTTGCGGGCTCACGGTCTCGTCTGTAGTCTCGGTCTCGCCCCGCAGTACATACAGAAGAGACCGAGACACTTGTCGTGATCTCCTGTCTTGGTCTCTCATCTCGGTCTCCTGTCGCGGTCGCGGCGCGAACCATCGTCTTTACATGACACTTTTGGCTATATTTTGGCCAATTAACTCAATAAATACAAAAGAAAACATAAATAATAAATGATCAATATTTATATATTTATATTTATTTAGTTGGCTAGAAGTTTGAAATGCTGTTATTATGACTCTTAGCATAATGCTGACGTAACAAAGACTTGGAAGCAGGTTTCATCATTCCAGAGTCGAACAGCTTGGAAACAGAATGACTTAGATACAAAGTTGAAGCAGTGATAAGGAATTTCTAAAAGAACATTTTGAGATGAGCGTAGAGGATGGAGTGGAACTTAAAAAAAGTAAATTTGGATTTGAGATTTACACTTTCTTGCATTCGAATCAAGAAGAAGAGAGTAAAGAGTAGTGAGAATTTTTTCATAATTTATTGTATCTAATAAATTGTATGGGTAGCTACATGATTTAATGTAAATGTTGCTACTATTGTTAATGCTGATAAGATTCATGCGCCCATTATTCTTATCAGCTAAAAGATGTCCTGAAAAATATTGGACGATTCAAAAGAGTTTTCAATGAGTCAATTTGAATAAAGTATATTTTCATTTCATATCTATGAGTTGGTGGGAACTCATTGCTACCGAAGCGCACGACGGCTGTTACGACGAATAATTAATTATCACGGCACAGCGGCGCACGTCCATTTCCTAACGCGCATCGTGCTGCGCTGAAAAGATATAAGTGAGTAGCCGAAAAAGACCTACAAATTTTTAGGTTTTTGGGGCACCAAGCAGTTAGCACAGGTCTTTCGAAATTACAAATGTGCCTTAACACAATCTGTAACTAAACTAACAAAATGATAAAAAATATGCTTATTGCAACCTGCGATGTCTTAAATGATTGGCCTATTAATAATCATCGACTCATTTAAAACCACTTCTTGATAATTTATAAATCACGATTAAGCGCTTACACGCACTGGAGGTTAACTGTATATTTTTTTGTATTTTTTCATTACTCTTTACTTTCCTTTACTGGTTCTATTGGCTCAAAACAGCCCTTCAAGAGTGAGTATCACGACAATAACAAGTTCAAAGTTCCCTTTATTTCCATTTCAGCCGTACGTTTTCGCACGGCCACCAAAAGCCGTGAAGAGTTCAAGAAACAATTAGCAAATATCTACGTCACAGGAGGCGATGATTGTCCCGAAATGGCCATGACCGGAATAGAACTAGCTCTGTCATCCAGCAAGCCAGGCTCGCTTCTATACGTGTTCACTGATGCGTCCGCCAAGGATTCACATAAGCTAGACGTCGTACAGGCTAAAGCTATCAAGGATAACTCTCAGGTAGGTTTGTTAATAATTGCTCTTTCAAATTTATTTTCCAGTTCTGTACCATGCTTCAGCAGTGCTGTTTAAGCGTATTTTAGGTAGAGTTTTAATTTAGTTGAGGTTTGATATAAGACAGTTATTTATTTAATTCCCTGAGTGTGTGTATTACAGTAGAAACGTGCTTGAAATACGCTTTTACGTAAGCTTTTTTCTTAAGTAATAGGGGGTCAGTACAATTGTTTGTGACTATGAGAAAATCGTTTCGAGAGGCGGCGTACCGAGGACAATCTGGAATCAAGTGGTTTAGTGATTGGACATATTTTTGATCAGCCAGTGCTGTCATCCGCATAGCAATGAATGCTGTTGTTAGTTAACAACAGATCCTTCTTTCATCATTTGTATCAGATACCGACATTACTCAAACACACAGTGAATCTTCACATGAATGAGGCAGCTTACTGTCCATCTTTTACAGTTCTCTTTATTCAACCTCTGATAAAAATAGGTACCTATATAAAGGTGAAATAACACGGTTCATCAATGAATTGTGAATGATGAACAGTGAAATGCATTGTTTGTATAGACGCATTACTTTTGATGAAAGCTAATATTCTGTGGTGGCGACATCTATATGCCCCTCATGTATACAACGGATGGAGGAAATCATTACTCACCATCCTCAAGAGATGGCGTTACCTGCACTGCGATCATAATAGTATGGAAGCCTACATCGCGCAAATGAAATTCGAAAGCATACTCTTCATATATACGATGCCCGACCAACATCAGTCGGGCCACGGCCCCCGAGCTACCATCACCCACCTCGGATTTAAAAAACAACATTTCTGCACTGTTTTGGTTCTGAGCAAAAAATACGTCCTTTGTGATCTGTTTTGTATTGCTTAATGATAACATTGTTGCGTAGTTCAAAGTGTAGTTTTTTAACGTGTAATAAAGCACGATTTATTAGTTTTTTCATTATTCCTAGCGTTTCGGATCCCTAACATAGTAGCAAGATTGACTGCTTGATTAGTTCAGTAAGTAAATTGGTACCTATATTATGTTCAGATATTGTTTCAGATTGTATTTCTTCTGACTGGAAAGTGTAGTTCAGATGACAGTGACCCAAACTATCAGGCGTACTACAAGTTGGCGGAGGCTACGTCAGGACAGGTGTTCCATATGGATAAACAGGATGTGAAGGAGGTGAGACTAAAGCAGAGAGATTCCTTCTAAAATTATCTATCAGGCAAAAAAGTAGATTTGCAATGACTTTGTCAAACATTGAAGAAAGCAACGCGTACCTCGAGCTGAGTCGACGGTATCCAAAAAAACGGCCCCTTGTCCACGCACGCTTCCCACCGTGTATTCTCTTGGTAGCCTTGGCAATACTAACCAACACTTTTTCCCAACGACGGACGCGAAATGTACACGCAGAAGACCGAAAAATTGTATTCCACCATTAACAGCATTCGAATCCGTTCTGTTTCGTAGCAGAAGTCGTAGTGCTTGCGACCAGCAACAGGCAGCGCCTTTGTGTTTGACGTAACAAACATTGCAAACGGTGCGCGCGAAATTTAAACTCTGTACTTACAAAAAAAAATACATGATTACATGGAACTTGTGTAATGGGCTTCGATATTACTAAATTGTAGCATTTTATATTATTCTATGGAGTATTCAACTCTGTTATTATTTTGTTATTTATTTACTTTACAGATCTTGAAATACATAGTGGAACAGATAGAAAGCCCAAAAACATTGGTTACATCTAAAAAATTCCCGCCCGGGACAAACCACAGTCTTACTGTAAGTACATATTTAATATACACATAAAAACAAAAAAAAAATGTGTGCACCCTTTTATATGATCAGTAATTATTATAGCTATCCTATTGACATTTGTGACACCAGAAATATTGTCCCTTATCCTTAACCCTTGAAACCTTATAGTCGTAGCATACATTTCGGCGTTGATTATACGATCCCTTTCAAAGTATCAACTCTGAAAGGGATCGTCACCGTATCAACTCGAGCCATTCAGTATTCTTTGTATGAAACTATATTATGCAAAATTTCTTGACATTTGACTCGTATCGAATTCAACTATTCCAATTCGATATTGGTTCGTGCTAAGGATACAGCTGTCTGTACAAGAAAACGTGTCACACTAAAATTTGATATTCATATGTTTTTTTATTGTTTAGTTTCCAGTTGACCCCGATATGCCGACTCTGATCATCTCTGAATCGGGGAAGAGTCCCACTTTGGACGTTACTTCTCCCGACGGCAGTAAGGCCGATACGAAAAAAATTGTGGATTTATCAGATGTTCTTGTAAGTAATTATGCTAAAGTGGTATCAATAATAAGTGTATCTTAGCTTTCTACAAGGCAGGGCGAGGGCAAACGACAGCATATTATAATAATATCCGTGTAACAAGAGGTGTTGAACATGAATATGGATGAATAAGAATGCAGGAAGAGTAGACCGCATAAAATTTAATGTTAAATGAATAACATGGTAAATTAGGCTAAGTGCTTATTGGTAGCGTATCTCAAGAGTTTAGATCAACAACTCATATAAACACGTTGTCGCCAATTTATTGCAAAGTACACACTCTGAGAAAATTGTAATGAGAAACAGCCCGCTCATTCGTCATATGTATGGATATGATACAGGCTTAGTTATCATCTTCAGCTTATTGATGTCTCCACTGCTTGGGCACAGACTTTCCCTACGGATGCAATAGGGAGATTGGGTCGTTGACCGCCATACGGGTCCAGTGCGGATTGATGGCTGCTAACGACTGCAGATGCAGCCGGGACTAACAGCTTAACGTACCTTTTGAAGCACGGAGGAGCTCGAGATAATAAGTTTTTGGTCACCCATCCAATGACCGACCACGAAAGTTCTTTAAAATTCACAATCACTAGCCGAACGCGCTAACCACCTGTGCCATCGAGCTCCTTAACAAACAACAAGCTTATTGATAGGGACTTGTTCGCAACTTTGTGGCTAAAAAAATTGTTGAAGTTGAGATAAAGACTCATGAAAAGGTCTTAAAGAGAAAGCTATTAGCGTTTATAGTAACTGCTGATCTGATTACATTGGATTGCAGACCGTACGTATAGATGATACGGTGCCCGGTAACTACACCGCCGTGGTCGGTAGTAAATCGGAGACTAGCGTTGTGGTGACCGCTACAACCAGTATAAGGTTCAAGCATGGCTTCTCCGGCGTGCCAGCTACCAACATTGGGGATACGGCCACCAGACCTGTATCAGGCAAGTTTCATTTGATCACTTTTCTTCATAAATAATATAGTATTCATCTGATCCAGTTCATTTTTAGTGGAGGACCAAACATAATGGACAAATTCCTACAGAAGCCCATGGATAGAGAAGTTTAAAAACTGTTATTGAAATTGGGTTGCACCCACAAAGAACTATGTTACTGTATATGAATCATTTTTTTTTTATAAAACAAGTCTCCTAGTACGGAGCTGTCTTATTGATTCCGTCTGCGTTCAATAATTGGTTTCCCATATAATATTCCACGCGCCTTTTCACTTCTTAAAAAGTGAATTCTAAGATAAAAAGAATAGTTTTCCCTTTTATCATCTCCTCTCTCGGGACTCAAACTGACTCTACACTAAGTTTTATCTAAATCGGTTCAGCGGTTTAAGCGTGAAAAGGCAACACAGAGACAGACACACTTTCTCACTTATAATATTAGTATGGATACCCAAGGCGAGTTAGATTTTAAACCTATGCAGTCGTCTTAAAACTATATTACAGGACGCTGTGCTCTTTAAAACGCTTTATTGAGTACATTTTAATAATAATAACAGTATTATCCTTCCAGGAGAAAAAACTCGATTGTCAATTAAACTAATTGCTCCTGATGGCAATAAGATTCTCGGATCGGTAGAAATCTTGGATATGGAAGAAAATGTACGCGAAGTATTACAGCTGACGTTGGTCAATGCAAAGGATCAATTCTATACAACACAAGCCTTTCAACCGCCGGAGTACCTATTTAAAATTGCGGTCAGTGATTTGCTTTTAGAGTAAAATTTTGAAACTTATCACTATTTTTTTGTCTATTTCCACATGTAGCGATGTAGATAAATGTAAGCAGTATCGATATCAGTCGTATCCTACTTATTCGCTTTGTGAAATTCTCATCTTCATATCAGCCGTACGACATCCACTGCTGAGCGCAGACCTGATCGGTCCTGCACCACTTGTACCCAGCGGTTTTCTAAGATCTTCGGTTTATCTGATGAGGGTCCTGCCCACTGAGCGTCATCCGGTGTACGGTCGCCATTCGAGTACCTTTCCGCCCCAACGGCCATCGGTTCTCCTCGCTGCGTGTACCGCCAATTGCCACTTCAGCATAGCAATTCTTCGAGCGATAACGGTTACTTTAGTTCTCCTGTGAAATCATGTTGGTGTATATTTGATTCCTTGCCACTAATCAACAGATACGGTAAAAGTCTTAGATGAAAATGTCTGATAATTATTTCCTTGTGTCTAATGGGACGCTGCTCCTTATATCTTAAGATGTTTTTTTGTATTTTTACAGGTAAAAGGTAGTGATAAAACAACTAGTACAGCCTTCAAAAGGATCGGTTCAACTCCAATACAAGTTCAAAGCCCTGTGATAGGTGGAGATAATTTCATGAAAACTATCAAAATAATATAATTAGGAATAGTGTAAATCTTACTAATTATTTAAACAAATAATCATTTTTCAGGCCTGATTGATCCAGTGGCGCCAGTTATAAAGTTTAATGAGGAAATGGCGATAAACGCTGAGTATGATGAACCATTGAAAATTGCTTGTAAAGTGAAAGCATATCCTAAGCCGGATATTATTTGGGTTGATGAAGCTGGAGTGTCTTTTTCGCCAACGGTATGAACATGTTAACCGATCTCTGATATAATTTGCTGGTAATTAATTATAGATTTTACCTTTACAAAATATAAAATAATATCAAAATCGTACTACTCTGTAATAAGTTATCTGTGGTCATACATTACAATCAGTGAGTAAACAATCAATCATACCCTGTTTTCATACCCTCAGGGTTGGATTTTATTCCAAATTAATATTAAAATCCAAAGTATACTTCGGGGTATACTCTTTCCATTAAAAAAAGAATTATCAAATCGAACGATCTGTTAAAAGTTATGCGTGGTCATACATTAAAAAAATATATACACGTCGACTTGATAAACTCCTCCGTTTTTTTCGTCGGTTAAAAAATAGATTGAAATGAAATTACTTGAGACAAAAAATATAAAACTTGAGATAATTTCGAATTTTGTTTAATAGATAGACCTATTTTGCTACACATCCGTAAAGGGTAAAATACAAATGGACATTATAATTATGTACTCATATTTGAACAAATGAATAAATTGACTTATTTATTTATGGATTATAAGATGAAGATAGATCTGAGTTCCCATGGGCAGGTTCCCAGGCACGGGTAACGACTCCAAATAATAATTTGACTAAAGATAAAAAAGGTTTATAATTTTTTAGCTTTCGGCGATGTAATTTTTTGTAAAAAAGTTTGAATGTAAGACTAGTGGCCCGCCCTCGCTTCGCTTCGGTGTAGAGCTGTAGTGTAAACTATAGGTAGTTTTTGTTCTCAGACTTGTGCTATAAACAATGACTTTATTTTTATAATTACACGTGTTATTGTGAGTCAACCATAAAAGATAGACATATGCTGTTGCGGGATATTTTTTAGACAATTTTATGTAAAATATTTTCGTTATACATGATTTCTATGTAACGTTAACCATTAAGGCTGCACACGCGACGGAAGCTTAAAAAATGGAGTAACTTCTCCCGTTTTCCCAACATTTCCCTTCACTACTCTGCTGCTTTTGATTGTAGCGTGATGAAAAGTATACTATAACCTGCCCAGGAGTATGAAGGATAATTGTACCAAGTTTCGTTAAAATCCGTCGAGTAGTTTTTGTTTCTATAAGGAACATACACACAAAAAGACAGACAAAAATTTTACTGATTGCATTTTTGGCATCAGTATCGATCACTAATCACCCCCTGATAGTTATTTTGAAAATATATTTCATGTACAGAATTGACCTCTCTACAGATTTATTATAAGTATAAAAGTGTTAATTACAGCGAAATATTTCTGTTTCTTTAGATTAAGAGTTTCACAGTAATTTGGAACATTAACTAGTAAAGTGGCAGTAACTAGATTCATCACTTACGATTTTGAAAAGTACGCACTGATGCAAATGCATTTACCTGTCCGTAGGTGTCCGCTGTGGAACTACCATACGATTATATCAGCATTCTGAATATTGACAAAGTTATAAAGAATGAGACGTATACATGCAAGGCTTCTAACACTCATGGAGAATATTCAAAAAGTGTTGATGTAGTAACAGAGCGAAAAGATTATTTTAATGTCATAGAAGTCCCTAAAGGTATTATTATCATTAATGCGACTTATTAAAGCGATATTGTGATGACCTTCGTGGCCGAGTGGTTTGTACGCCGGGTTTGATTTGAGTGGCCGTCTCGAGAAGTCCCGGGTGCGAATCCCAGTGGGGGCAGATATTTGTATGATGAATATGGGCATTTGTACTCCAGTCATGGATGTTAAATATGTATTTCTATATAAATATACTTACATATGTATTACTATATGTATTCTATCCGTTACCCTAGTATCCCACAAGTATAACATAACACAAGCTTACAATGCTTACTTTGGGGCTGGGCTAATTGGTGTGTTAATATTTTATTTTTTATTGTTAACAATTGATAATGCGAAGAAGGTGCTTATATTTTGGAAATAAAGTAATTTAAAACAAATGTCAAAATTGCAGTTGATATGGAAAAAAATATTGATAAAGCATCGATAAAAAATTGATCTTATTAAACTGATATAAATTGTCAAATATTCGTAATGACTTCGAAAAATACATGCATTAAGATAAAAAAAAATATCATGGATACAATTTGAATTGAAACCTGATGTTTTTACAGATATAACCATTGAATATGGAAATAATGGGAGCGTCATTTGTAATATAGACGCAATGCCTCCCGTCAAAATATCGTGGTACAGCAACGAAACTGAATTACACACTAATGAACATATTGAAATATCTTCCAATGGCTCCGTACTTACTGTCAAAGATATGCAACTTCTGCTAAATAAATCTTATAGTTGCGTTGCTAAGAACGATGTCAATATCGTAAAGTATCCTTTCAAAATAGTTATTTCAGGATTTGGTAAGCATGAAAAGATTTGTTTATCGAAATAATAAATTACTTATGAAAGAAACACATATAATCGCTATATCCGTATATTATGTAACGACGTTGCAGGATTAAAAAATACTATTAAATTATATCTGAACTTGCTAATGTAAGTTTGACCTTCATCTATAAAATTAATTCTTTTTGTACATATTATAGGATTAGGTTACGATAACTTTCATATTTTAAATGTTAATCATTTCAAATATATTCTTACAGAGAAACCAGAAATTGAGGAAACACCATCTTTAATGTATGGTAATAAAGGAAATGATACAGAAATTAATTGCAGGTTTGTTCTAACACTGGTGTTATTTATTTCAAAATTAGGCGATAGACCATAAGACCATAAAGCTAGTATTTTTTATCCTAAGAAATTACTACACAATTCGATTAAAATAGAAACGTTTTACCTGAAAATAAAACGGTTATTAAACATACTTAGTCTTACCTTATTCGAAGCCTAATAAATACATGAGAGTAGCATACTTGATTTCCGGTCTTAAATCGTGTACAATGATTGGCTAGCTTCGTCCAATCGTTCACTTCCGGTTCGCGTTCACTTCGTTCACTTCCGGTTCGCGCCATATCCCACCCCTGTATTAGCAAGGCGTTTGTGGGTGCCTAATTTATTCATCATTACATCTCGAATGTATATCACCAGGCAGAATTTAAAAATATTAGGCTTCGAATAAGGTAAGTATGTTTAATAACCGTTTTATTTTCAGGTAAAACGTTTCTATTAAACAGTACTGTACCGTTATTCGAAGTCTAATAAATACATGAGAGATCTGTTTGGAATCGCCTGGTGGTGCTAGTTATGTAAACCGATGCTAATGTGATCAGGATATAAATAAAATGATGATGGTCTATGGAAATTAATCATTTATTGTTATTCTTTAATTATGTTACTATTGATAATCACTAGTGCATTGTGCAAATCAATTATTCTATAGGCATAAACTGAGAGCGAATCAACGAAGAGTTATTATCACAATCCCATTGTTAGTACATTTTACTGCTCGTCTGTAGAACTTTTTAAAGGTGTGCTCAGATTTCCAGTTCCCTCTTGACAGGATATCTTCCAAGGGACAATCTTCTAGCCAACTCTTCGAAGCTACAGCTGATCTCATGCTGCCCGCTGTAGCAGTTACACCGGCTTCTTGTAATAATTTTCTAATCCAACGTCCTATCACTGTTTTCGACGCTGCTTTAGGTTCACCAATCGAAGTGATAAACAAGTTTTCCGATTTTGCTGTTATCCGTCTGGAGTGGGACAATTCTAACAAGCGTTTAATCCAGTGAACTATGTTTAGCGAATTATTATCCCCCCTGTTTACTTTTAATAACTTCCAACCAGATTGTTGGTGCTTGGCGTTACCAGTTTTAGAACCGAAACTTGGCCAAAATGTCACTTCCGTATCAGTAACAATACAGTGATCAGGGGATACACTCAGAAGAGTTAACTCATGCACCCGTCTACCCGAGGCCAACAACAGCATAGTCGCTGTTATTTTGGATACTTTGTAAAGGTTTGAAGTTCCAGGATCTTTCGTACCGATGTGTTGTATTACTATGTCAATATCCCATATGGGGGCCTTAGCTATTTTTGGCTTGGCCAGTTCGATGGCCTTGAGGACTTATTTAACCAGCGTATGGGAGCTGAGTTTGATGTGGTTGTCGGGATCACAAAAGGTGGATATTGCGGATTTATGCACTAATATAGTGCTATAGGCTAAACTTTCCTTCTGATGTAAGTCGGCCAAAAATCTTGCTAAGTGGGATTCTGATGGTTGGCACACATTAACATTGTTTTGCTCAGCCCAAAACATCCATCTTTTCCATGCAGGTTTATAGGTGTTTAAGGTGGATTTACGCCAGCTTGATGAAAGTAATAGTTTCTGATTTTCAGACCAATCACTTAAAATCGAATGCCACCCCCACATCGCCAAATTTCGATCTGCATCATTCCGATCTCTGGCGGTGGTCGGCCCGTTGATGTATCCACCAGTACTTGGGGCAGGTTGCGTACTGTGAAGGGGGCTGACAACGCTCTGCGCTTGAGATCTGGCCTCCAGTATACTTTGTCCCACCGAGGTACCGCTAGGAGGTAAATGCCTTGGGCTTTGTTTAGATCCGCTAGAACTTTGGGTATCAGATGTGGTGGAGGGAATACCCAGGCTAATGGGTAATTCCAATTCCTTCCTAGCGCGTCGTGGAAAACAGCTTGTCTGTCTGATTGATCTAAGGTGTAGTAGTTTGTTACAACATGTGCAGTTGCAGAAGCAAAAAGATCGATGACTGGTATGCCCCATTTTGCAAATACAACCTTCATTACCTCCGGAAGGAGATGCCACTCCGGTGTTGATTTCGAACGAGATAGGTGATCTGCATCCGAGTTGAACATGCCCGGGATGTAATAAATTGATAGGTGAATTTTGTATTTGTCCAGTATTTTGAAGATTCGAGTGGTTACTTCCGTAAGAAGCCGAGATTTCGTTCCACCTTCGTTTCGAAGATAGGCTACGACGGTCTTGTTGTGGCACTGTATCTGTAGTCCCTTTGAGTTCAGGAGCAGACAGCGATCTTCTAAAAGTCTTAGAATGGCGATCATCTCTTTGATGTTGCAGTGTAAGTTGCGTTCCGAAATCTCCCATTGGCCAGTTAGGCTTTCGTTGTCCAATTTTGCTCCCCAACCAAGATCGCTCGCATCCGTCGTTAGATAATGCGATGGAGGGGGTCTGTGGATCGGAGAAGATTTCCTGCAGTGATTTGGCCACCATTCCAACTGTGCAGTCTTTGGTAATTGAATTGCTTTTACTGTTCCCGTCTTGAGAAGTGAATTCACTTGAAACTGCAACTCTCGAAAATTCAATTGTCCTCTCGGGACTGGAAAACTGGCAAAGTTCAATATTCCGACAATTTTCTGCAGCTCTGGGAGTCTTACTTTTTTCTTGCTTAGAATTGCAGCAACTTGTCTTTCTATTTTTGCTGCTAATCTGTCCGGTAAGTACTTTATGTTCCTTATAGAATCCCACATAATGCCGAGGAATTCTAGAATATTTTGTGGTTCGTAAACGGATTTTTCTTCGTTTATTATCCAACCCAGATACTTCAAGAGACTTGTTGCCATTGACACGTGCTCGCGCAATGTTTATATGTCTTGATTTACAAGATAAAAGTCGTCGAGGTAGACTAGAAGCCGTACCCCCCTTTCTCTGAGTTGCTGAGCTATCCAATTTGATAGCGATGCGAAAGTTTTCGGGGCGGAACTGAGGCCAAAAGGTAAGGCTGTCATTTCGTACAGTTTTCCTCTGTAAATCAGGCGGAGAAACCTTCTGTGGCTGGGAGCGACGCTCATGTGAAAATACGCCTGATGTAAATATATTTTTGCCATCCAGTCGCCATCTTACAGGAAGTCTGGTACTCTGTGCACGTTCACGAGACGAAATTTGTCTGCACGAACGTACTTGTTCAGTTGTTTTAGAATGAAAACCGGCCTTAAACTTTTGTCGCTTTTGGGTCTTAGGAATAACGTCGAGACGAAACTTGGCGTGTTTGCAGTTGGTACGATTATGTGTTGATCGAGTAATTTCTGAATAATTTGATCCATGTCTGGCGACTGAGCCGTGTGACTGCTGCAGTATTTTGGCAGGCATAAAGGTGGTTTTGCCTTGAAGGGAATATGATAACCGGTTATTATATTTAGGATGTAGGGCGGTGCCCCAAGATCCTCCCAGTTGTGGATGTATTTCTGCAACTGACCGGCCCGAAAAGGCATGACGTAGTCAGTACCTCTTCCTGGGTTGACCTCTCCTATCCCGTTGGGATAAGGGAGAGCGTGCTCGATCTTCTCGCTGTGATCCTCCCCCTCGAGTGGTTTGAAAGTTACCGTGACGTCCACGAGGCCCGTTCTTATCGCTTAATCGGTTTCCTTGTGTGGGTTGAGACCGTGGCTTATGAACCCTCTAATGATTAGCAGTAGGTCGAGATGAGCCCGGGGCTGTAGTTTCGATTCGCTGAGTTGCAAAATGGCGGTTTTTTTGTTTAGACCAAAAAACATTCTTCATTCCTCCCGCTTTTTCGATAGCGGTGCTAAACTTTTCACTGTCAAATAGATTGGAACAGGATGGTGGGATTTTACGTAACGCACTCTTATGATAAGTATCCTTTACTGATGCCAGGATAGTCTCCCTTCTATGTTGCACAAGTTCAGCTCTGTGCCCGCACACTAATTGCAGCGAATCACTGCATACTTTTGTATAATCACTGTTAGTGAATACTTTGTTAAGCTTGAGGTAAATCTCGTTGTAACTAATATCCTTCGCTGCATAGGCCCACATAAGAAATTTCGTCCTTTTGTTTGAGTAACGAAAAGGTAACTGCTGCGAAAGCTTTTTCCATATTTATACAAAACTTAGAGCTATCAAACTGTTTAATCTCATCATTGGGGTCGAGTTCGACAAACCCGGGGGAGTGTGCATACTGTTTTTGAAGTTCGGCGTAACGAACGTCTTTCCACTCCGGAGAGTCAAAATGTTGCAGCTCTTTTAGCTGCTCGAGGTGTTCCCTAGAAGCTTTTGGTACGGACGGTTCTTTAAGCTCTGTTACTAAAGTAATATTAAAATCTGTGTTGCTCTCCGTAGACCCATCAGGTTGAGAGGCTTCCGTTTGCTCAAATAAATCGCCACTAATATTAGAGTCGATGCAAGACTCAGCATATTCGTTATTATCAGTTAGAGGTGATTCGAAACAACATTTATTCAACTGACTTTTTAGGTTATGAATTTCATTGATTAAATAATCAAACTTACGGTTTCGCCTGCTATGCTTACGATTTTCCTTCCGGCGGCAGCCCAATGAAGAAGACGAAGACGTAGAACTGCTACTGGAACTATCTGAACTGGATGACCTTGCTCTTTTTCTTTTTCCTCTCCTTCCGTTCTGTATTTTCCCTGCTCGCCTCCTCCATTCCTGTCAAATCCTTACTAGTAGATGGTTGACTTTCCATACCTTCAAACATATATATCAATTTGAGTCCATATTTAGTATAAATTATAAAGATGTTATAAAGCACACATAATTGTAAAAGGTAGGTATCAAAAGTCGGTATTATATTTATATAATCACGATTATTATTTAAAATATAAAAAGAAAATATTTAAAAACGTTCGTAAATCAGTAACGGAAAGTAAAAGGAATGTTTTTCTTATAATACACGCCATTTTACATGAAAAAATTACATATTTTACCTTTACGGCACAACACATTAATTATGTAAAATTGAAGGAAGTTTTCTTCCTATTTTTCATCGGAATCGAACGGTAACACCGTTAAAAAATCACAAAACCTTTACAAAAGGTTTTTAGATAAAATCTTATATGAGCAAAGGAAAAAATATTGTACTTTACCTTCGTTGCACACGACTTACTAAATTAATGTTTGCTTTTTCGAATATACGAATACACTTTTTCACAGAACTCATACACTTTATACTTTGCACTAATGATTTTCTTGTCTTTTCCGTTCGGAAATCACGATGCTAATGACGAATAAATTAGGCACCCACAAACGCCTTGCTAATACAGGGGTGGGATATGGCGCGAATCGGAAGTGAACGCTGATTGGACGAAGCTAGCCAATCATGGCAGCGTTGTACACGATTTAAGACCGGAAATCAAGTATGCTACTCTCATGTATTTATTAGGCTTCGAATAACGGTACAGTACTGTTTAATAACAAGTATTTTAATTTGACTTTAAAGCTAAAAGCAATTTACTCATTATTTTAAACTGTCATGGTCACTAACATTATAGCTATTAACGGGATTTTTACCATGTACCTTGTTGTTTATGAGTACCCGATATTTCGGCACTGTTGCAAGCGCCATGATCATGGAGTAACTTAAGTAATTGCGGGTAGATGTTATTGGCAGACATATCGGTCTACCCTCTGACGTCGTCTTTTACTGCGCTCGATACCCCCACCATTGGTCACATTCTCACTATTCATTCGCACCTGTTCCCGACACACAATACTCACAGTATCAGATCGCGGAACGACACTTTTTTGATTTTCGTGAACACGGAATAGGTAATAGATCCGAAAGTGTTTTATTTATTAAAACTAATAGACCGTAATTTTCAGAACTGTCAGAGGCTCTCCAAACCCTGTATTCAGTTGGTTTTTCAAACAGGAGAGTTCCAGGAGATATGCTAAATTGAACGTTACTCAAGATGTCTTACGACTAAAAGGACTTGATATGTCGCACGAAGGGATTTACGCATGTCTTGCATCCAATGCTGCTGGAATAGCCTTTAAGGAAACAACACTCACTGTTAGCTGTATGTCTAATAATTTTTTTGTTTTATGATAAAATATTATAAAGGAGGCTTTATTAAGCTATTTTATCTATTAGAATTCTTGATATTTCCTCCTATTCTCGAAATATTAAGGACTTGACACGTAGGATAGTCACCCAATTTTTTACCGACTTCAAAAGGACCAACCAAAGGAATCGAGAACCAGGAGCATCTGGTTCTCAATTAAGCCGGTATTTTTTTATTTACGTATGTTTTTGTCCGATGCGAAATAGTTGACATTTGGTCCCATACATTTTTTAATTAATTTAGACTGAGTAGTTTTCATTTTTTGAGAATTGTTGGTTTACTTGGACGCTGTTATTTTCCGTACTTTGTGTACGGCTTTTAGGGGATTTTAAGTAAGTATGTGTAAGCTTTAAACTAAAACGGATGAAAAAAAAACGTAAAATAAACTAACCTTTTTACTTTTTGGTTCCATTGTCGATTTTGAAGTCGGATTTCACAATATTCCCTGTGCAATTTAGCAGTTAGCGCATTTTTTCTTGGGTCATAATAATTTTGAATTTGTAATAAAGGATCAAATAAAATTTTACCCACCAAATACCATTTCCTCAAATGTATAGATCCACCCACCATTGACAACGATGTGACACGTGTGAAGTCTCGTCACGGAGAGCCTACTACTCTCAAATGCGTAGTCCACGGTGCTCCGAAACCAAAGGTGAAATGGTTGCACGATGGAATCGGAGTCATCAGCGATAGCGAATTTCACATCTACAGGGACCACAGTTTGAGGTAAGTATCACTCATAGGAGCACGATGACGCAAGTGATTTGCAGATCGCGGCGCTCATCTCGCCAGGCCGGGCACACGATCACCGTGTGCGCGGCCGTGTCGTCAGGAGAGGCGCAGTGATGACACCGCGGCGTCTCCTCCCTCGTGCGGGACGAGAGGCACTCCGCCCAGACCGGGCCCCCGTACAGCGCCATCGACTTTAAGCCGACGGCACTTCGCCTTCGGCCCCCCCACATTGGGGAGAAGGCGACCGAGTCCGGCTGCGACGCCGCACAGCCGGGGAGCGAGAAGCCTGAAGTGCTCCTCCCAGCTCCATCGGGGGTCTAGGGTCAGGCCGAGATACTTGAGGTGCATCTCGACCGGAACCCCCTCTACCCTGGCACGGAGCCCCGGCGGTGTCCTGCATCTGGGACCGTGGAAGGCCATGGCCCTCGTCTTTTCGAGGGTCCCAGGAGGCGGATGCGTCGGACGACCATGGAGGTGCCGACCGACGCAAGGCGGACCGCCTCCTCCCACCCCCTCGCTCTCGCCGCTACAAGGGTGTCGTCCGCAAAGCAGACGACATCCATGCGTGGCAGGAGCTCACCCCGCAGGACCCAGTTGTACCCCAGGTTCCATAGGAGGGGACCTAATACGGAACCCTGGGGTACGCCTGCCTTCACTGGCCACGACTGGACGCGGCCCTCCGCATCCTCGTACAGGACTGACCTGTCTCGCAGGTAGTCCCGGACGAGGGCGCGGAGGTAGAGTGGCACTCGGTGGAACTCAAGCGCCGCCTCTATGCACTCGTGGGGGATGGTGTTGAACGCGTTCGCGATGTCCAAGGACACCGCGATCACCACCTCCCCCCGAGCTGTGACCGCCTCAGTCCACCTCTTGAGACGGCCAACCGCGTCCATCGTGGACCGGCCGGTTCGGAAGCCGTACTGGCATTCCGCCAGGTCCGGCCCCTCACCCTCGATGTGCTCGATGATCCGGGAGGCGAGAATCTTCTCAAAAGCCTTCCCTGACTCATCGAGCAACACCACCGGCCGGTAGCCCGCTGGGGAGTCCGCCGGGCGGCCTTCCTGAGAAGGCAGAGCCGCCCCACTCTCCAGCGCCTGGGAAAGCGACCCGTTGCGATGCAAGTATGTAGCACCGCGTGGAATCGCTCTCCCAGAGGGCCCAAGGCAATGGCCATTACCTTGGCCGGGGCCTCGTCCGGCCCCGGAGCTTTATTGCGGCTCCGGAGCCGGTCCCTCACCGTGTCTAAGTCACCACACTAACCTAACTTAACACACTGATTTTTATATTAAACTGCCTTCAGTTTAATATAAAAATCAGTGTGTCGCAATGAAGAATTCTGGACGCTGTATGGTAATCTTAACCACTTCTCAAAGACTCGTGTTATTTAAGGTTATTTACTATGACGGGTAGAAATTTTAAATATTTTTTTTTTTCTAAAAAACTACGAGGTACCTAACTTTGAAACTTTACAGAATTACGTCTTAAAATACGATCTTCCTGCCATAAAATTACGATCAACTCGACGGACCTTATTCTATATTGTAGCCCAGAAGACCACAGTAAAATAAAACTACCTTTTGATGGTGTTATGTTCCCGTTGGTGAATAAGGTTCCAAAGCTCCACAAGGTAGTGGTTTGGGTTAGGATAGGTAAAAGCACGGGTGATGTTTTGGTATTGCAAGCTTCTATATGCTTTGGTGACCACTTGCCATCAGGACGGCTACATGCTTGTTTACCACCTTTTTAACATATAATGACACTTTGACTGCATCCATCTACCCAGGCATTGTACAAGTATCGAACTTCCCGTGTTAGCGAACAATTAACGTTAACTGTAACTGACAAGTTTAAAAATAAGCAATAAAGAAAAAGCAAATAGGCTATAATTTTGATTGACTTTGCTAATAAAAATCTAGTCAAAGATCTTATATTTTTTAGATTCAAAGGATCCATTGCGAACAGCGGCAAATTTGTGTGCATTGCAACCAATTTAGCTGGAACTGCGACGAGAACAGTACAAGTTGACTATGTTGGTAAGGACAATATTTATATTGCAAAACCCTAGAAATAAAATTTACGTCTGCGAGACGTATGACGCGGCGAAATAGTGTTATATATTTTTTAATATACAGTCAGTTACTCGAGAACGTACGGGCTATAACTTCAAAATTAGGGGTCAGGGGTGGCGGGGGGTGTCATTTTTGAGATCAGGAGACACAACTCCATCATGCATTGATGTTAACTCCTAACCCGTTATGCTCGACTCATTAGAGTGCAGCAACTGCTGCACAAGCTGCAGCGTGACGTCTATGCCTGCACGTCGGTCCGATGCACGTTTAGTGCACATGCAGCTTGCTAGAGCGCCGATCGTGACCTTAGCTCATACGCGAGTTGGGATACCTACTGGACGCGGTGTCGCGTCAGCTTATTCTATGTCAATGAAACCAACAAGTGTACATAATAATTTTTATTTCAAATAGTAAAACAAATAAAAAGCATCGCTATAATGAGCGAACCTAAATACCGCACAGGTGACAAAGGACATGTAATGACTATCTCAAACAGTATTAAGGTACCTATAATGCGAAGAGATGGCGCTGCCTTGCAGCTTAAGAATAGCTAGAAAGAATTTCGACGCGGTCCGTGAGGGCCGCGGTAGCATAATTGGTCAGTGCATTCGCCCGGATTGCGAAGGGTGCGGGTTCGAGTCCCGTCTGCTGCCTGGTCCGCGTGGAATTTTTTCTAGTTATATTTTCTTTAGATTTAAACATCAAGCAGTTACATGCTTTAAAAATAATAAAAATTATAACAGTATTAAGGTACTTGTGATAATTAAAATCTTTAGTATTAATTCGGATCTGGTAGGCCACCGAGGAATCCAATTCCTCAGGTCCCCATCAGCGATGGTCTCTTGACGACGTGGGAGTGTCGGGTCGGTATTGTGTCGGCTTTCTGTGCTCTCGTCAAACGGGATCCGGTCGGATCGGTGACCTGTAAACAGATAAATTGACATTAATTTTGTTGGACCTCACAAGACGTTCCGATGGGTTGGCGCACGTGATAACGTTTTTGCTCCGAATAACGTTGATATGAGTTTGTAGAAATGATATACTCACTTCTTAGCATCTTGGGCATTTTGCAGTCTTTGGCAGTCACGATCTAGTAGCTGCGAATGGCGAAAGAAACGGACGTTGACGTCCAGGTCTTCGGTCACAGTGTTGCTCTGGACGAACTAGTTCACGCCGTGGCTGTTTATGAGCTAATGCTTTCCACTAGGAATGATCGCTATTTATAATAGCCTATCGATAACAGTTTCAGGATAATGATCAGAAATATGAAACTTCATTGGCGCAATCCACGGTAATTAAATATAAAATAATCGTCAAATAAAATTAACAACAGCGTCAATTTTTATATCGATTACATTGGTTTTCCTGTAATTCCGATGTCAAAGTACTTTCCAGTTATGTATAACTGATTAAGATTTACTTAGTCGTATACTGTTTGTGTTTAAACCGGAGTAGATAGAGTTTGTACGTAATGTGGACAATAATCGAACACTACAAAGTGCATACGTTTTGACATGCTAAGTTTCATGAACCCCGTCCAAGACCTTACGTGCTAACTAGATGCTTCGTGTCTCAGCCACACCATCGGGCTACCGATACGGTCAGCGGGACACAAGAGCCCACTACGGACTCTAACTTCAGAGTTAAGGCTCCAGGGTAGCGGGGGCGGGGGGTGGTATTTTTGAAGTCACGAGCCATGCTCTATCATACAACGATGGTAACTCCTAAGCCGTTACGCTGGACCCATTAGAGTGCAGTAACTGTTGCACAAGTTGCAGCGTGACGTCTAAGCCTGCACGTCAGTCCGATGCACATTCAATGCACATGCAGGCTACGTTCGGGGAGTCGCTATTAGCGCGAAAAATGCTACCTATAGGTATATTATTTGCTGGTAGCGTTTGTGTTTACAGCGCAGATAGCGACTCCCTGAACGCGCCTGCAGCCTGCTAACGGACTGATGGCGACCTATCAGGTGTATACGTGAGTTGGGATACCTACTAGACGCATTGTCGCGTCAGCTTACTCTATGTCAATGATACCAACAAGTATTGCACAATATATTTTTTATTTAGAAAAGTACAAAAAAACAAGAAAGCATTACAATAAGCAAAATTATAAACCGCACGGTTTGCAGATCAAACACAACCGACATCTTAAACACTGTCCAGCCTATTCATGGAGTTTAAAACTACCAGTATGTGTTCAGGTCCGGGCCACTGAGAAATCCAATTCGGGTCCCCAAGACCCGGGATTTCTTGACGACGTGGTGTTCACCTGCCGGGAGCCCGAATCGGCAGCGGGACCTCGTGGGATCGGTGAACTGTAAATTGAAAAATTGACATTAATTTCGTTGAAGCTTTTACAAAACGTTCCGGAGGGTTGGGTCACGCGCTAAACTCTTTGCCCAGAAGTTGCAATACTATAAAGAAACTTGGATGTGATATCAGTTTGTAGAAATGATATACTCACGTCTTGCGGGCGACAGGGCAACACCGGCATAGGTTCTGGCCTCGCTGGCCTCGCGTCCGCAATCAGGACCAAAGTCATCAAGACCAGCAAACTGTTCATTCTGGAGAGCTTTGGGATCCACGATGGCGTAACTGTAAATGAAAAAGAAAAAAATATTAAAGTCAGACGTTAAAAAGGTCCGCCTTCCCTGAAAGGAATGCGCAGGAGTAAATAAAAATGCATAAAGTAATTAAAATAAATACTGGATACTTACATAGAAAGTCGACGTTGATATCGGCGGGGGTCACGGTGTTGCTCTGGAAGGACGTGTTTACGGAGCGGCTGTCGATGAGCTTATAAAAATCGGGAGGGACCTAAGGGCGTTATATAGTGGCCCGCTGATACGAGTTGCCGTAAGTTAGGCACTGCAGTTGGATAAACTCATGACGCAATTTGAGGAAAAATAAAAAGAGAATAATCCTGAAATAAATTTAATCAATAATGGGGAAATTGCGATCGGATAATATATTTTTGCGTCATCTGTTAGAAATAATGGTGTAATTATTATTGGAATGTTGTTTGTTTGCAAACTGGAGTAGAATTTGTGCCTAAGGTGGTCAATACGTTTGCAGAGTACAAAGTTTTGACATGCTAACTTTTTCAAACTCCGTACAAGCAGAAACTTGCACGCCTATCAGGTGCTCCGTGTCTACTCGGCCGCACCATTGAGCTACCGATAAGACCGTGCCGCACGTGATTATCCGAGACTGCATCGAGATCTCGGTAACGCAATGGAACGAGCTGCGACGAGTGCGCTATCTTTGAAGAAAAAACCATGTATTTCGCTCGAGCGTATCAACGGCGGCTTGAGCCCATCAGAGACCACGTCCGCAACATACAAAAAGTTCAGCTAGCAACGGATTGTTCAACTTTTTACAATACAGCCTGAAAGTTCTGCCATGATGGGTTTCGGAGCTGCGCATAACAACGTGGATGTGACGATTCTTTTTAATCAACCACAAATGGCGCACGATGGCGTAAACTCCCTTGAATTCCCAATGACATAATTGTGGTAAAGCAGTAACATTAATAAATGGCGATACATACTGTTTCGTTACCGTTATCCTCATGTGGTAACAGGACTGTTACAATTACGTTATCCAGCTAAGAGGTAATAATTACACTGGAATTCACGTACCAACTAGCCCTGGTAGTTATTGTAAATCCCGAGATAACGTGTTCGGTTGCCATGATCACAGAATAAGAGACGTGACAGAGGTTTTCACCAACGTGTCACTTGCCGCCTTATTCTCGCCGTCCGAACAGGACGGTGACCCGGCCGACAGAGGTTGCATAATGTTTATCCTTCACATAACATTGGTGCGTCTCGGGCATCGCTGCACATTACAGCATACGGAGATCGCGTAAGACCGACGTCACACTCGTGTACGTATGCGACACATGAACACACGCACACATACGCATACAAGGAAAACGTCTTATGAGCTGAGTAGAGGTCACAAAGGTTTTAAGATGAAGTAATATTTTTAGCAGAGGTCTGACCGTCTGAGCGCAGGTAAGCCTTGCTCGGGTACGGTAGATTGTTCACCCCATGTTCGGTCATCTTGACCGACGTCACACTCGTGTACGTATGCGACACATGAACACGAGCACACATACGCATACAAGGGAAACGTCTGAGCGTATGAGCGTAAACGTATGAGCTGAGTAGAGGTCACAAAGGTTTTAAGATGAAGTAATATTTTTAGCAGAGGTCTGACCGTCTGAGCGCAGGTAAGCCTTGCTCAGGTACGGTAGATTGTTATTTAGACGCTGACGCTAGCCTTAAGGTCGACGTTACGTTACTAGGTTGCGCGCCAACGGGCTCGTTAGCTCTGCCGCGTTTATCTTCTTACCTTTCTGCAACACCTGAGAATCTTTTGTAGAGATTCATGCCTAGACCTTATCTAGAAGCATGCCAGGAGGCTAGCGATCATCGTTTGTGGTGAAAAAATTCAACTGCATTCTGGGGCAAATTTCGAAATTACTACTATCACCTGATGGTGCATCTAGGAATCATGGCCCGTACGTTCTCGTATTCCCTACTGTAAGCCGCAGTGTGTTCTCTGTTTTTAACAACTCAGTTGATGAAGGGAGCGCCCACCAGACGGCTACGGCTTATGTAATGGTGTAGTTTCCGAAATAACTAGTGCGGCTATACTGTACATCTAAGAGACGTATGATTATCTTTTATGCAACTTTTGTGATAGTTTTGTAAACGTTTATAAAAATATAACATGAAAATATTATTATTACTGTTACCTACTTATTGAAATATTATGGAATTACGAAAAGTGTTAAAACAAAATAAAATTAATATCATATTGAGGGAAAAAGAAAAATTTACTCATTAGAAGACGAAGAGCAGAGAGACACCCAATTTACTGAAGTTTTAAGATGAAGTTCAATTACGAATTGAACTTCATCTTAAGACTTCTGTATACTTATTAGATTGTAAATTTTTTGAAATTTCATATAATAAAAAAGTTGATTTCCCATACAAACTTTCACTCTATTTTATTCTGACACAAAACCCTATCCTATGTCCTTTTCCGGGACTCAAACTATATCTATATCAAATTTCATCAAAATCAGTCGAGTTGTTTAAGTGTGAAGAGGTAACAGACAAACACGCTTTCGCATACGTAATATTACATTTGGTCAGTAGCCCGAGTACGACCAAGTGTAAATGAACGGAGTTGAGTACGCCCGTATTCGGGTAGTTTTCGTTTTGGTTACCCGATACCGTCTTCCAGCCCGTATTCCAGTGTTAATATTGGTTCGGGTGCCTGAATTCGAATAATGTCTTTATGTTTTTATTAATTTTTAAGCGTTTAACTGCTAGATGATTAAATCTAAAGAAAAGTTTACTAGAAAAAAAATCCACGCGGACCAGGCAGACTTTGACATTGTGGGTTACCTACAATGCGAAGAGATGGCGCTGCCTTGCAGCTTAAGGCTAGGAAAATTTCGACGCGGTCAAAAGGGCCGTGGTAGCATAATGGTCAGTGCATTCGCCCGGATTGCGAAGGGTGCGGGTTCGAGTCTAGATCGAATAATGTCTTTCGTGCACCCGAATACGGGCTATCGACCTACTGTAATTGAACCATTAGTATGGATGGACGTAAGTTACTATTATAATTTCAGTTCCAGTGGCGATAGATCCTCCAAAAGTAAGCAAGTTAGAGATGAACTTTGGGGATCATTTGTCACTACCTTGCCGAGCCGATGGCTACCCTCGGCCCACCATCAAGTGGATATTTTACAACGCCGCTAGGAAAAGACCGATAACAATATGGTAAGGCTGTTTCTTTAGTTGACTCAAACTCAAACTCATTTATTCAGTCTAGGCTGTTACAAGCACTTATGAAGGTCAAGAAGCTACGCCATCGGTTCGCAAAACTACGGCGGGAGACCTTGTACTGAGAAGAACCGGCAAGAAACTCAGCAAGGGCTGTTTTTTTCTCCCTATATTGTTATATACAGAGTCGTCAAGTTGAAAAATGACTTCAGAGATACCTCTGAAGTCACCTTCCATTACATGATTTAGCATATAGATATATAGTTACAGTAAATTTTATAGTTAACTCTATATTTTGTATACAGGAAGCGGCTTTAGATAGGTACCTTATTGCTGTTATGAAAAATGACTAATACCCATCAAATAAGATATTGCAAGAAACACTATGTCCATGCATTACGATCATTCAGATACTCATCAACTTTATGACTTGCGGATACTCGCAACTTTGTTTACGTAGGTAGATGACGGCTGGGTCACGACTTTGAACACTATGACAGATCGACGCGTTATCAATGCAGAACTTATTCAGGATGTTGCAATTATAATATCTTTTTTGTTTTTTTATTCAAAATTTTAAATGTATTTGTATTTATTTAGAAGAGAAACGTGTCTTTAGAGGGACGCCTTTAAGTTGTATAGTAATCACTTGCGCTTTTAATTTCCATCTTACGTTTGTATGAACCTTTGTTAATCTTTCACCCAAAAAATACTAAATGGATTTTAATGAAACTTAATAATAATATAGATAATAATTTATGTAGTTATTGAGTGAATTGGCCTGGTGAATTGTGAATATAACAATAAGTGTCACGTAAGACGGAAAAAAATCTACCATCTGCGAGCCATTTTCACCTGCACTGCAAAAACAATAAAAGTTACATGAATATGTATATTGGAAATGTATCTCTGAAATAGTTCTACAAAACAGTCCGGGATAGCATATATTTATATTTAATGTGTAAGCCATTATCGCTAAAATAGTGAATCAAAAATAAAATATTATTTGATATCCATTTCCAAGATGCATATTTTTTATTGACGAATTATTTTTTATTAAAACAGATACTTTAATCGCTTCTGATATTTAAAGACGATAAACATTGCCCTTTACTTTATGATATTTCGACAAATATTTAAAAAAATACAACAATGACAAAGTGTTAGCACTGTGTACTATGCAGGAGTAGACAGCGGGAGTTGGGAGGTTGGAGAATAAAAATTGACGTATTTTGGTGTCTATAAACGTAAAAAAAACCTAGAAGGAAAAGAACAAAAATGGGCTATTCGCTGTATCTAATCCTATATATTTTAAAGAACTTACAATAAAACTGTAATAAAGTTCCTTCTTATTAAATGATGAAAAATAAATTTTCCATATTAAAGATTATTATTAATATTTAATGTGAATCTCAGAATTATACTGTTTTCAAAGTTTATTTTAACGATAATACTTCATGTTAGAAACAGGGTTACTTAAAATAATGAGAAATAACATGTTATTCGCTAGTAGGTACATACTTAATGGACTAATAAAAAATACTTAGTTTTTTTTGGAAACAGTGATTAGTTTTGCGCTAATACATACTTATTCTTATTTTATTTATAGATAGAAAAAAATATTTGGAATATAATGGCTTTTCCTACCGCCATAAAAGTAGGGGTTGGCGGTAGAAAGGTGAAAATTGATTGATTGTATTTTTAATGCCACATTATAAAAAAAATAACAGAAAAAAAATGCCAAAAAATAAAAAATAAAATGTTAGGGGTGGACAGCTAAAACTAAAAAGAAAAAAACAAGTCCAGTAGTCTTATAATTGTGTTAAGTAAGGAACAATGCTACTTTAACAATCGGGACCCATTATTGAAAAAAATAAATTCTTGAATATCTAGTGGGTCCCGACTGTTAAAGTAGCTTTGTTCCTTACTTAACACAATTATAGGACAACTGGACTTGTTTTTTCAGTTTTTCAGACTTGAAGTAATTTAAAGCAGTCGGTTTTTTTTTGACTTTTTTAATTTACCTTTTTTAACGAACAAGATCGAGAAATAACTAATTTGTTCAGAATTACTCAAATTGAAAAACGACATTACATTTTTCGATTATTTGCAAAATCAGGCACCATACTGCAAATCTCGGTGTGCCAAACCTTGTGTTTTGCTCTACGCCCGCGTACGTGGGTGCTACTTTTGATCCGTCGTATGCATTACTTAGTGCAGCTGTGAGCAATATATTTTAGCGTACAAAAAAGACCGCGGAAAATAGTCCCTTTTCGGCGCAGGCTATTAAAGTATTTAAATATTACTTTTTTTATTAATTCCAGGCCTTCGGATGATTCTGGGTCGTTAAACCTGAACAACTTACAACCAAGACAAGATGGCTACTACACCTGTGTCGCAAGAAACGTCGATAGCTCTGCGAATATTACATACCAAATAACAGTTCTAGGTAATGATAGTACATTTCGGGCATTGCCGACATTGTGTTTGTTACATTAGAATCTTACCTTATGTGAGAAACAACAGAGGCCCAAGCATGAATTTTTGACGACTGCTTAACGTATAGTTATCGATTTACGTCGGGATATATATCCATAATCCTCTATGAGGAGCTCGATAGCGCAAGTGGTTAGCGCGTTCGGCTGCGATCGTTGAAGTTAAGCAACTTTCGCAGTGGTCGGTCATTGGATGGGTGACCAAAAATCTTCTATCTCGAGTTCCTCCGTGCTTGCTTCGAAAGGCATATTAAGCCATTGGTCCCGGCTGCATCTGCAGTCGTCAGCACCCGCCAATCCGCACTGGGCCTGCGTGGTGGGTCATGGCTCCCTATTCAATCCATAGGGAAGGCCTGTGCCCCAGTAGTGGGGACATTAACAGGCTGATGATGATGATATACCTTTAATCCACTCACATATGTCGGGATAGTGGTGTTTTGCAATAATATGATAAGCCTACATAAAAATTATAATCCATTAAAAACTTACTTGTGTTTTCCTGATCACTCATCAGGTCAAAGTTATTGTCCACCATAATGGGCGACGGTAATTGTTCCGAATGTTTAACTTCCGAAAGAGAAGATTCGATTCACACGAAATTACTTGGAGACAAAAAATATTGTGTGGTTTGGACGACACCAAAACAAATAATGACCGTACGTTCACGATAAGATGGCGGGTTGCGCGGGAGCTAAGAAATTAGCCAAATCAGTTTCCTCTATTTCAATAAAAAACGGTACAGGAGATCTTCGGGAGAGATATGAAATATAATAATTTGTTGTAGCATCAAATACTTTATTCATATCTCACCTTTAGCAAGAACTGACTAATCATCCATACTTACTATTGAATGAATCCCCGCAACATTAAACATAAATAAAAAGGGCTGTCAATTAAAAGTGTAAAATCCATAGAAAAATCGGGAGAATTTACATGTATTCTCTAAAATCGTGGAAAAATCGTTTCATTTCCGTAGAACAGACCCATGTCGGTAGAAGTCCCAGCAGCAATCTGCTCCCATTTTATATTTCACTCGCAGAGCGTTGTAGGTAAACCAAAGAGATGTGCTTATTTTCATCACAAATTAAAACAATAACAAGGGCTATGTTTTTAGCAAAACCCATCATCAGCAAAATAAACTCCAGACGATCTTTTACGGTAGTGACACATGATCTCGTCCACGTGATACCGTGCCGAGCCACCGGTAACCCCAAGCCAGAAATCACGTGGACCAGAAACGGGCTGAACATAGCTGCAGGTATTATTAAGTTTTTAAGTATATTAAATAGTACGTTAATTGTAATTTTTTAAGCATTTAACTGTTAGATGTAAAAATCTAAAGAAATTTTAGTATAAAAAATCATCACATAGTAGTAAGTTCTTCTAAATTTGTGTCTGAAAAAAGAAAAATAACAATTCAACTCAATTCAATTGAAGCTTTCAAATGTCGTATAATTTTGAAAAAAGTTTTTTATTTTCTTTTTAAAATTCCTTTTTTTCCTTTTTGATCCACTCCTTTTTGGGAATTAATTATTTCATTCTCTTTATTCATATGTCAGTTTTAAATAATTTTATTCAGTGATAAATATATTATTAAAGCGAAAGCCTTTAATACATTGCTTGCCAGTAGATGAGCTAATCTAGGCTCTAAATTACCATACAACTTATGAGAAAACAATATTAAACTCAATTATTTCTTCACAGGAACTGAATGGTATGATATCAAAGATGACGGCACTTTGGTTATTAAGAATATCGATGAAATGTCTGGTGGTATATACGTTTGTAAAGCTACTAACAAAGTTGGCGAAGACAGTCAAGACTTCCATCTTATACCAAGACGTATGTATTATTTAAAGCTTAAACATATTTTTATTAATGTAGATTTTTAATTTTTTATTGAAGACGCGTGACAAAATATTCGTAACATTTTTTTTAAAACATTTTAATCCAAACATTTGTATAATAAAAATGATAAAATTATGAGTGTAATAATAATTATAGGACTGATATTTGAGATTAAATAAGTATTTTAATGTCAATTTGAATAAAAATAACTTCAAAAACACGTTTTTTTAAACATAAGTAATTATTTAATTATATGATTTGTTTTTAGCATATCCTGATTTTATCGAACCTACAGAAACAGTGAATTTACAGACAAACAGTAGTACAGACCTCATATGCAACGTACCGCATACGAGACTTGACTACGTTCGCTGGTATAAGGTTAGAAATTACGAAAGTTTTTAATAATTTTGTTTGCATTTTATTATAATAGTTATAATTGATTTTTTTGTTTTGTAGGACAGGAAACTTATAGCAGAAGGAGAGTTAACTTTGAGAAATATTAAAGTTTCTGATGCAGGGATCTATACTTGCCGCGTTTGCACCTTCTCTCAATCAACTTCAAGTGCAGTTAGGGTCATAGTTGGGACTCCGCCGTCATTTGTGGATGAAGCTGAGTTATCACTTAATTTTGAAGCTAATACTCCAACATTCTTGGATTGTCAGTCGTATGGAGAGCCAGCACCAGAGGTTTATATCATAACTCACAATACCTAGTCTTCAGACAGTAATTATTTTTTTGTTAATTCAATGGGTTGTATAAAAATGTTTAAGGTCATTTGGTTGCATAACGGTAAGCGTATTGGCTCTACAGAAATGCTTTTAGAATTCGAAATGACTTCAGATACAAGAGGACAATATGAATGTATAATAAAAAATAACTTTGGCAGTATAAATAGGATCTTCGAAATCGTTTCAAAAGGTAATTAAAGTAGTTTAATAAAAATGTAATTAAGTAACCAGTTAGAATATAATGAGTACTACGAAATGTCCTGTATCCTTCGTGGTTGTAATAACTCGTGTATATTAAATTTTCAGAATGCTTTTTGAACATACAAGAAGATTTTATGTCAAATCAACCTCTTATGGTAGAACCACGCTTTTTAAGATTACCTCAATTTGATGTCGATAGCGGTTATATTCGGATACCAGCAGAAGAAAGTTTATTATTACATTGCCCAAGCGGATTTGCTAATATTCCACAATCTGAAGTCATGGCAACTTGTGAGGGGGATTCAAACTTTAACGTAGAAGGTAACACGTTTAGATATTCTGACCTTTATTGTCAAGAAGAGCTGATACCACAAATCAGAAGAACTGGCAAACCATGTAGTTCTGCAAACAATGAAGTTGTCTTGATTGGATTCGAAGTGCGAGGGGTCTTTTTAGATGTGTACGAGATTTGTATGGATAAAGAAACTAACACACCGATTTATACGAAAACCAGAATTAACAGATCATTAGCCAATGCTTATCCAAGGAATGATACTAAATGGTTTGGTGATGAATTTGCGAAGTACAATTTCAAAGAAATGTACGACTGCGACAGGCAGATAAATGATATATCATCACGTCTGAGGAAATGGTTCTATTCTACAGATAGATGCTGTTTTGATAGCAGGAAGTTGGTAAATCCTCGAGATCTATCAGTAGGTGTATCGCAGAAAACGGCATTCACCCAGCTTAACGTTGTGCCTCATTGGAGTACCTGTGGAGCTGAGGTATTTTTTTTTATATTTGTAGACCCACTATTTAGTACTCTAGTGATTTCAATGCTAGCATTCCACCACATTAAAATGCATATTTTTAACCGTCATATTCTTTGTTCATTTTGTAATCAGCGATTTTTCGCCTGCGCAAACGACGGAATTTTGTCCGCGGAGGACTTTGGTCCGCGTATTATGACTAAAACGTCCGCGACGACAAGTGTCCACAGAACGATACGGAATCACAGCCGGCCGGGCGCTTCCTGTCCCTCCCCTCCCTTCCCTCTTGCGTGTCGCTAGCGTTAAGGTGAACGCAGACGTGGCCGCACCGCAGTCCCGCAGGCATCGCTTTTTGTAAATGGCCTCGCACATCTATCCGCACCGCAGTCACTGCAGTCGTTCCCGTCGCCGCACGCATCGCACTTGATTTCGTATAAACTCAGAAAGGGCTGTTTTTTTTTAAATTGTCTAATTCAAAAAGGACTTCAATATGAGATAACACATGAAGTCACTTTATATTACAAATGTAAATGATATAAAAATTATGACTATAAAATAAAAAACCCTGATACAACAAATTTTAGGAATGCCGTGCCTACTGTTTAGGCATAAAAAATGTTCGATTAAAGTTAAATACAACGATTAATACTACTCAACGTAGCAAGAGTAGACTCATTTTCGCCATGGTAATATTATCTATACAGTATTCTGTCTCGGCCCTGTCCTTAAAATAATTGCCTACGGCCGAGCGGGGCGTATCCACGCGGTAGGGCTGCCCACCTACAATATTTTAATTTCATCTACATAATTGAGCTTCTATCTAGTTTTGTGATTGTAAATATTTTATTTCATATTTAAAAAAAAAATGTTGTGAATGAATTAGGAAGTGTAACATAAAATACATGTTATTTTAAGAGTAATATTTAATAATATATATATATATATATATAGATTTGAGACAGAAAAATATTTACGTCTCGACTGAGACGTACGAAAAGCTTTATTATTAAATTTAATAGTATAATAAATACGCGTTCGTATAAAAAGTTTAATTATTGAAGAGTATGTAGGTATCTACTTAATTCAATCAAATATTCACAATACAAACGTTTAAGCACGGCTAACTGCTTAAAAAACAATTCACACCGTTCGGTCGTCGCTGCGGCGCATTCGCGACTGGATGCCCACCGGGTGCCGCGCGAACTCGAGTGGCGTAGGTATGACACGCTTTCCGACCGTTTGTATGAAGATAGAATATTGTATAGATAATATTACCGTGTCTCCGCTGGCAGCAAGGCATTTTACTCGATACACTTGTAAGCGATGTATTACGGCGGACAACAGTGATCCACGGACAAAAGTCCCTCGTCCGCGCAGGTTATTAGTAGATAATTTTGTTGATGATTTAGAACTTAGTAGCTACTAATACCTACTAAAAGATGTCAATAAAGTTTTTTTTTTCATAATATGGATAATATTTATTTATTTCACATTAGACGTGTACATTATTTATTATAAGATCTAACATCACATCATAATATCTACATGACCCCGTTGGGGTGTTGCAACAAACTTGAGCTTAACATTAAATACCTACATTAATTTTAAGGCGTTCATATTAAATCAAATTAGGTCCAAACATATTTAAACAAAATCAATCAAATTTAACAAATTAAAAAAATAATCAAGTCAAATTATATCATCCCATCATAGTCAAATCACAATCATATCATGACAAGTTTCAAATCAAATCAAAAAAACAGGTCGAATATAATTCAGTTGAATTAAATAATAAATAAATATTTCCAACACTCACACCAATTAGCCTAGCCCCAAAGTAAGCACTGTAAGGCTTGTGTTATGGGATGCTAGGGTAACGGATAGAATACATAAACTGTACATATATAACTATATTTATATAGAAATACATATTAAACATCCATGACTGGAGTACAAATGCTCGTATTCATCACACAAACATCTGCCCCCACCGGAATTCGAACCCGGGACCTCTGGAGTCGGCGACACCATGAAACCCGGCGTACAAACCACTCGGCCACGGAGTTTGTCAAAATATAAAAAATAAAATGAAGTTAAATACTAAGTTCATTTATTGATTACAAATTTATTTAACATTTATAAATTCATTAACAGAATAATACGCTTTTTTGTATAAGTTGTACTTCTTACAACAACAACAGAATAAGACAAGTTGTTTTAAACAAAAATGTCTTTGAGTGCGACCTTGGAAAACTCGAAACAGTAAAGTTAAGAAAATGTACAGAGGTCCTGTATATCATTCTAAAGATTATAATTGAAACCAACTAAATATATTACAGAATTGGGATCGCTTAGAGAAGATAATCAGAGAGCTTGCCAAGTCCTCGTATGATGATTTGGTGGTGTACACGGGTGCGTCTGGTCAACTAGCGCTTGACAATGCTTTGTTAGCCAGTCCCGAGGACATTGAGATCAACGATGCATCCGGCAACCGGCAAGCAATACCTCAATACTTATGGAAGGTAAGAAAACCTATAAATATAAATAATAAATATTTCCAACACTCACACCAATTAGCCTAGCCCCAAAGTAAGCACTGTAAGGCTTGTGTTATGGGATACTAGGGTAACGGATAGAATACATATACTGTACATATATTAGCATATTTTATATAAATACATATTAAACATCCATGACTGGAGTACAAATGCTCGTATTCATCACACAAACATCTGCCCCCACCGGGATTCGAACCTGGGACCTCTCGAGTCGGCGACACCATGAAACCCGGCGTCCAAACCACTCGGCCACGGAGGTTGTCAACCTATGAAGTGAATTAGCAAATATTTAAATCTTCAAAACTTACATTAAAACGAAAAGGGAAGATACGGCAATCGCGGCTCAAAAGTGACCCGCTTATATTGTGGTGCATGACCATAATTCGCTTTAGTCACAATTTGACATTCAAACACGCTGCATGTTCACTCAATATAACAATATTGCGTATATTCTGTGTTATAAAGATAAAACAATGCCTTTGATGCTTTTATAATGAACGCAAACAGTTCAAAATCAAATAACAAATGCCTCGGAAACACTTTTCGTTCGTAAAACTGTAAAAAAAAAATTTTTCACCTTAGCAGCTCAAACATACTGGGTTCCCTGCTTAACAAGAGTGAGGAAAACGCGTTTTCCCTGCGGGAGTGAGGGAAAGTGATTTGAATTTAGAATGCTGCGAATTATCATTATGTACGAAACACGTCATTCGAAGTTCGATTTATCAAATTTCAGAACACCCAAACAATAAAACGTTCGGAAACTAATAAACCTTTAAAATGAAAATTATTTGGTAACGTTGTAACTAAATAATAAAATATAATGAATACACTGAAATAAAGAAAAAAAATAAAGAAAATGTTTTAGAAAAAATACGAAGTAGTTATGCACAAATAATTTATAGTTTTAAAAATCTTTATTGGTAAAACAGAATACTACGGGTGCAGTTTCAGAACGTAACTTTAAAAATAGCTGGAAACAAAAATCAATATTATTTCTTCTTCTTTTGTTTTTGGGTAAGTAACTACTTACAATTAGTGTTGCATATCACAAATTCATAAAATATGAGTGAGTCTAGTGACAAAAACAGCAATTTAACACCTGAAGAATTAAAACAACAAGTGTTGAATGCTGAATTCAGTTTTCTTCCTCAGAAATCATGTGATAGATATCTGAAAACCTATGATGTTTTCAATAAATGGAGAACACTTTCTCGGAGAATGTATTATTGTCGTACTTCATAGAATTATCACAAACGAAGCAATCACCTACAATGTGGAGTATTTATTCGATGTTGAAAGCTACAATTGAAAGTCAAACGAACTTACCTGTAAGTGACGTTCGACTTATATTATACGATGTGATTCGCCCGAGAGATTACATTGACACACTTGTAGTAGCACGCATTATGTGCTGCCATCGTACACAATTTTAGAGCAACATTAACCTTTGCCTAAAAAATATAACAAAAAAAATATAAAATATGCGTTCGCACTGGGGGTAACTCCACATATTCATACACGTTTGGACTAAAGCGGTCCATTGGTTCTTGCTATTTCGTGTGACCATGGGTAAGATCTATCTAAGTATCTTCATAGAATAGCTGATCAGGGACAGGGAGGGTGTGTAATCTCTCGGGCGAATCACATCGTATAATATAAGTCGAACGTCACTTACAGGTAAGTTCGTTTGACTTTCAATTATACTTCTGTGATTCGCCCTTCGAGATTACATTGACACACTTGTAGATGTTTAAAGCTACACGAAATAGCTGACTTTTAGATACTAATGTAAATTAATATAGTAACACTTGATTTGAGAATAAAATAAAATACTATTATTTAGCTCTAGATAGGTAATTTAAAAATCTATTTAAAATGTTTGTAAAGAGAGCGAGCAAAAAAGGCCGAGTTATTTTTGGATACTTCTCTATTGTAAAATTTCGCACTTGTCCAATCCGCAGTTTTCTTCATAAGCTGTATACTAACTTCTGGCTTAGTATCAGGTAAAGTAGCAGCACGTATCGTGCTATAAGAAGGTGATTATGTCTATTCCGCTGTCTGGTAGAGTTGCAAAGATACAGCGACTCGAAGTCTATGAACTAAATAATAATATTAGTAAAAAAATAAAAACACATTTCCATTGCCTCTTCACTGCTGAAACATTGAAATAGTATTCCAAGATTTTTGGCTAGACATATTGAAGGTACATCGTTATAATAAAGTCAGTAAATGATAAGCTCGATTTATAGTTGAAGACTTAATCTTATCAGTGATATTTAATTTTGAAACTTTCATTAGTATACAAATTAATATTTGACTTGATTATAAATAAAATAAGTATCTTATGAGCAATAAAAAGAGCCAAAGAGTTATTACCTATTATTAAAAAAAAAACAGCTTTATAAAATGCTATCACATGGGTCCAAGTTTCCTCTTTAAATAATTATGCACCCTACTTGGGATTCAAGTAGTACTAGTAGTACCCGTGACAGTATATTTTGGTGACAGGGTACGAAATTTATAAATTTCTTCACAAAAACCATTTGACAAGAATATTGTTCATAATTTCTGAATTTATTTTAATAATGACATAACCGATTTTGTGCTGTCATTTATGCTAATTTTCTTTTTCTTATTGAGATATCCCAGACCACAGCGTTTCAAAAAATAGTACATAATTTTATCCACAAAAACAGTGACATTGTTTCAAACGAGCATTGTATTGTTACAACCTGCTATCAGGTATTGATGCTAACATAATATCCGCGACGTCCAGAGAATAACCTTGTTTTATGAACGGTATCCTAATAGTACTGTGACCACCAGGGCAGTTTGTGTTCTTCATCCTTTTCTAATTAATCGTCCCGCAAATAATTATATCTGAGGCTGTGCTAATGTTTTACAAAATTACTGATTTTCGTCATTAGCAAGCTCCCACCGCATCAGCGTGTATTATACTTAACTCTGCAAGCGTATCATATTATTATTATCTTTGGAGCTAATATTAGATGCAAGGAAACAGTTTTTTTTTTTTGCTGTCAATTATCCCTGCTTAAGCTGTGTGAGGAAACTGAATGCTTGTCTATTCGGTGAGATTATATATGCGTAGGAGTATTTCGTAGTCTTTTGCAAATATTTTAAGACCAAAAATGTTTCTCTTGTTTCGACCGCTGTCCACAGGCAGTCTGATTTGAGCAAGTATATCTGATTGTCTCCCGAACGTATTTGGTTGTCAGACCCATCAATATTACATGGCGAAGATTTGCCTAGTAAAGAGGTTGATAAATCTATGTATTTTTGCTATAAAAGGATGCAGTTGAACTAGGTGTATTACGTACCCACACATTTTTCTGTTAATCGTAAAGATTAATGACTCCAATATAAACTTTTGTGTATTCGTAATCTTGTTTACATTGCGCAAATATTGCAGTTTGAGTCGCATAAATTTTTAAAAAATATACGTCACAATATTTAAGCCGAAAAAGGTAAAACTTAGAGCTTTCTGTAGATCAAATCGTAAAATCGTCTTTTAAAACTAAAGAACACACAAGGCGGTATCTCATGTTTTTTTTTCATTTGCAGTTCTATAACCCTCAAGCTTAGTGTGTTATAATCAGGTATAATATAATTATTTAATGCCTTTCGGTTTCGAAAAAGGCCTTTTTTTTACTGGTACATTTTTAAATAAGAAAAATACTGACAAGAATTGACCCTCATAGGGATCAAACACCACAATGATTGTGCCGACACTTATACAATGATCTCCTACTAATAGGTATTCAATTCATCTGCTTTAAAAACCGATTTTATTTAGAGAGCAGTTAGCAAAGGCCAAGAAACTGCCGGATGTCCGAATACGTAGTCCGGACACCCAGGAAGACAAAAGGATCATTAGTGAATTTACGCCAATAATTATATGTGTATTAAAAGAATGTTATCTACCAGCCTGAGTATTCCCAGTGCTCCTGGTGTTGGTGACGGCTGCTGATTCTAGCGGCGCAGGGAGCAGGCTGGAAACACTGGCGGTGCTGGTGGGTCCTGTGGTATTGATGCGGCCGGACCTCAGCTGCATGCGCTGAGGTGCCGGTAGTGCCAGCATAGGTGGTGAGCCCCTCCAGTTTAAAGCTTCCGGAGTCGAGTGGACGCTTCCACAAACTTGTGTTTTCGTAGCGGTTTTGACTTCGTTGATATCGCAGGTAGTCACCATGTCATAACTCTTCTGTTGGGGAATCCTCACAGAAACTTATCGAAAAAGCCGACTCGATAAATTTCGTGCCAAATACTTTGAATCTGTGATAAAAATGGAGGCGACACGTATTTTAAAAATTACGTCATTCAAAATATTTGTTTCAAAGTAACACATTACTTATTTTCATTTCTTCGTAATATTGAAATACCGTGTAAATACCGTTCAACGAAACAGCAATTGTTGGGTTAATTTACCCTAAACTGTGGCCAGAGAAACAGCTCGCAGGATGCTGGGCACTCGACACAAAATGTTTTTTGCGAAAAACGCAAAGGTGAGTTTAAGTTCTGTTTCTCGTTAATTGCAGGTTCAATAGGTAGTTGCAATTTTTCGCATTACAGTGAACACTCCTTGAGTTTACTTAACATATTATTTATGTATTATTGCGAAGGAAATGATTCCAAAAACCATTCGCATCATAGTTAACACTACTTTCCACAAGTTAACACAATTAAAAGTGTATTTTCATGAATTTAATAATACCAAAAGGCATTTGCATCATGTTTTACGTTGCACAATTTGTTCAATGTTATTTACTTCAATAGTGTCCGAGTATGTGACAGAAACAGTCCCATGTACTGCTCGCATCACGAAATAAGTCATAGGATTATATTTGATGTCATTACTTCTGTAATGTCGAAGTACGTGAAGGAAACAGCCCCATTGTGCTGTTCGCATCACAAAACATGTTAAAGGAATATAGTTTACAAATGCCCAATTAACGAGTAGTAATTTCGATGTACACGAAGGAAACAGTAATTTTATTTAACATAGGTATAACTTCCATATTTTTTGTGAAGGAAATAATCCCAAAAAAAAATATTCACATCACACAGTGAACACTCCTTAAGTTTACATAACATATTACTTATGTATTATTGTGAAGGAAATGATCCCAAAAACTATTCGCATCACAGGCAACACTACTTACCACAAGATAACACAATTAAATGTGTATTTTCATGAATTTAATAATTCCAAAAGGCATTTGCATCATGTTTTACGTTGCACAATCTATTCAATGTTATTTACTTCAACAGTATCCGAGTACGTGATAGAAACAGTCCCATGTACTGCTCGCATCACGAAATAAGTCATAGGATTATATTTGATGTCATTACTTCTGTAATGTCGAAGTACGTGAAGGAAACAGCCCCATTGTGCTGTTCGCATCACAAAACATGTTCATGTTAAAAGAATATAGTTTACAAATGCCCAATTAACGAGTAGTAATTTCGATGGACATGAAGGAAGCAGTAAATTTTATTTAATATAGGTATAACTTAAATATTTTTGTGAAAAAAATAATCCCAAAAAAATATTCACATCACACAGTGAACACTCCTAAGTTTACATAACATATTACTTATGTATTATTATGAAGGAAATGATCCCAAAAACCATTCGCATCACAGGCAACACTACTTACCACAAGTTAACACAATTAAAAGTGTATTTTTATGAATTTAATAATTCCAAAAGGCTTTTGCATCATGTTTTACGTTGCACAATTTATTCAATGTTATTTACTTCTATAGTGTCCGAGTACGTGACAGAAAAAGTCCCATGTACTGCTCGCATCACAAAATAAGTCGAAGGGTTATATTTGATGTCATTACTTCTGTAATGTCGAAGTACGTGAAGGAAACAGCCCCATTGTGCTGTTCGCATCACTAAACATGTTAAAGGAATATAGTTTACAATCTAATAATTCTCTTTACAAGATGTAAATAGATTTTTGGAAGATGATGATTCCATCGGATTATAGCAACTAGGTACTTGGTATTGTTTAATTTCACCTTGAACTTTGTATTTTTAAAGATTTATGTAATGTAAGTACCTCTGAGTGTGAATCCAACAAACTTCTTTTTGGTTTTAATTTTCCACCTTGCGCAAATCTTTAATATTCAGATATTTAAAGTCCTGTATACACTTTTTTCGCACTTTAAATATAAAAAAATAAGTAACATTATTACATAAAAGTTAAATAAATTAAACGCAAACGCAAAATTACGTGCACGATGGCCGCGACACAAAACGTGTATGTATATGTGGAGTTACCCCCAGTGCGAACGCATATTTTATATTTTTTTTGTTATATTTTTTAGGCAAAGGTTAATGTTGCTCTAAAATTGTGTACGATGGCAGCACATAATGCGTGCTACTACAAGTGTGTCAATGTAATCTCGAAGGGCGAATCACAGAAGTATAATAAAGACAAAACATAATGTTCATATTGAAACTTATCCCAAACTTATTGCATTTTTGAAAAGAAAGTCAGTAGGACACAAATCTAAAAAGTCCAAAATTTTTTCAATCTCTAATATTGAAAAAATTCTTAATGAAGCCTAGGACTGCAATTTTCTCGCTGCAAAAGTAAGTTACTACCTATATGTCTATACTTAATCAGTTATATATGTGCACGTACGCTAACCATTTTCGCTAATATTTACTAAAATACGAGTTACTTATATAAAGCAAGTGGGAAAATACTACGTTTTGTTTGTCATACATTTTAATTACTAACATTTTACTTATATAATATTTTTATTACAGGTTATCCTCATTATTGGAATAAAAGGAACATGCCGCTCGAACGAACTGTGAAATCTGACTGTTAAGGCCATCGAAAAACATTCTGACGAACTGCTATTAGTCAACCTACCCAACACAAAGACAAACATTGACAGATCCTTTGTTATTCGCGACGAACATGTGAAAATTGTCGAGAAATATAAGGCATTACGACCTGATAATACAAAAACAGATCGATTTTTCTTGCAGTATCGTAATGACAAGTGTTCAAGACAGCCTATAGTAATCAATGAAATAGGCGGGACACCACAACAAATAGCCACTTTTTTAAAATGACAAGAGCCTCACCTTTACACTGGACATTGCTTTAGGCGAACTTCGGCCACGCTTTTGGCTGATTCAGGAGCCAACCTCACAACATTAAAACGTCATGGCGGCTGGAAGTCAAACACGGTCGCGGAAGGATATATTGAAGATTCGATCGAAAATAAGTCTAAAACCTGTAAACGCATAATACAAAGCATAAACTTTAAACCTGATCCCTATGCACACCCGCGCCCCTCTACTTATAAAAACACAATTATCATTGAAAATTCGATAAGAAGCTGCACCGAGTCGCCAACGTTTACTAATAGTATTGTCTCGTCACAGGCCAATAAAGAAATAGAAACGAACTCGAGTCAAACTCAAATCGCAAACTCCACGGTGTCACTTCCTTATAAAACTATAAATTTTCAAAATATAACTTTTAATAACTGCAATTTTTAAATTTTAGTAGATACTTATTGTTTGCAAATATATGTGGTTTCATTTTTATTCATATTGTATCTTTTTATCTCTCATAATGTTCTCGCTGCTAAGGTGAAAAGTTGTATGTGTCACGTGAGAGAAAAGTTATTTCCATCTCGTACCTTAGAATCCTTCGCTTACTCGGGATTCAAAATTATTACTCGCTTGGAAAACCAACTTTCCTCTCTAGTTGAACAAATAACTATTTCACAAAAATCACGGTTTATCGTGCATGTTATTTTCGTAAATGCTATTTTGTTATCGAGAAAAGGACAACAATACAGCTCAGCCATACTGACTCGGAAGTGGACTCGCCGTTTCGCTCGCGCTACGTTGAAGCGTACCGTTCTCGCTCGCTCGATTGAATGTTTATATACAGACGTGTGCGTGTGTGAGAGTTGCTTATATAGTTGAGTCGTATCATATTTTATATAATGCTTGTATGAGCGTACCGTATCTCCCATTTTTTTAAGCTAAGCTTCGAAACAATTTAACTGATCGTTCTTGAGGCCTCGCGTCCTCGCTCATAAACAATGATAGAAAATCTATCACGCAGTATTATGTAGACGTACTTACTAATATGTAGTCTAAAATGCCGTGCTTACAACTCTAGGTTTTAATGTATTGAAATTTTGTTTTTGTTAAAACTCGTACATCGTAAACAAGCTTTCGAGACTAATAAAATTTATATTATATTATTACGATTTTATGTGATTGTAAATAAAGTAAAAGGTATTACATACACCGTTAAGTACCTTTTACAGTCAACAGCATTATATCACATAAAATGAAGTTCCATAAAATGATGATAGTTATGGCATTAAACAAATACTCTTATTTTTCGGCAAAAAAAATATATTGTTTTATATAGATGAAGGATTTTGTCTTTTTATGTTAAAAGGATGGCAAACAAGCATATGACCCCCATGGTGGTAAGCGCCCACCATACTAAGATTAAAACAAAAAGGGTAGATACGGCACTAGCCTCACAAAAGTGATCCGCATGAATTGTGGTCCACGACCCTAATCGCTTTAGTCACAACTTGATATGCAAACGACGTACATGTGATCGCCAAAAAGAATTAATGCTAATATTTTTTGTTTATATGATAAAACAATGCCTAAGTGTGTTTTTAAAAAGTGCTCAAATTGCTCAAGAACTAAAAATAAAACCCACGGAATCACTTTTCATTCGTAAGTACTATAAAATATATTTTTTCATAAAAATTGCTGTTTGTTTTGAATCTTATTCGGTAGTGACGTCGAGTACTGGTCGCGTGATTGGTTGGTAGTGCAGTGACGCGGATCTCGCCGTCTCGTTCGCGTTGCCGTTGAAACTTAACGTGCTGTTTCATTCGGGTCGGTAATGCAGTGACGCAGATCTCGCCGTCCCGTTCGCGCTGCCGTGGCATCAGTTTTTGTTTGATGAAAGTATGAGCGTACCGTATCTACCCTTTTCGTTTTAATCTAAGCCACCACAGCCTGTGCTGCTTACGACATCAAAGCTATCACTGGCGCGGTGGCTTACAATTTTTTATATTTAAAGAAAATATGAATAGCGTTAATCCGCTACCACGTGGAGCCTTTGCTATTCTTTCTAGGTCCATGCCATGTAATCATCATCAGCCTATTAATGTCCCCACTGCCGGGGCACAGCCCTTCCCTATGGACGGAATAGGCAGAAGGGCCATGACCCGCCACGTGGACCCAGTGCAGATTGGTGGGTGCTAATGACTGTAGATGCAGCCGGAACCAACAGCGTAACGTGCCTCTCGAAGCACGGATGAACTGGAGATAGTAAATTTTTGGTGAACCATCCAATGAACGACCACTGCGAAAGTTGCTTAACTTCAACGATCGCAGCCGAACTCGCGAACCTCTTGCGCCATCGAGCTCCATGCTATGTAATATGCAATAAATCTCGTTGTGTCTCAGGTAGTCCAAAACCCGGCCACTAGATCTTCCCTTGCTATAGTCCAACTAAACATACCGGATTTGGACATTTCCGAGGCACTGAGCTACATGGTATGCCGGGACATTTGCCGGGATATACCCTGGATGGCGGAGGAGATGACCTGGAGGGACCCAAGCTTGGGTTTTACATTTTGCTGCAGTCTTCAAGAGTTCGAAGCAGCATTCCACATGAAGAACAGTTTTGGAAACAACAGGAGAATTCTCCAAATAGCTTCTTTACCTAAAATATACCTAAATGTATAGTTACTTCTGCTTGTGCAAATCATATTATACAGGGCCTCCCACGGCAATGCCACATGAAGAGAAGTATATTAAATTAAATGAAAGAAAAATCGAGAAATTTATCATTTTATTTAAAATAATGGAAAACAAACTACAATAAAACGAAACGGCGCAGGAAAAAACAAAGTAACATTTCATTTTTTCAAATGTTCTAAATGTGATCCATTTTATACCTATATAGTATAAGAATGTCCTGTCAAAAGAAATGCCTTAGTACAGTCAATCTGTAGGTTGAGTGGTGAAAAAAAAACCTAAAGGTAAGTCTTGTTTTTTCTGTTGCCAAATGACGTCAGTAAGTTACCTTGGCGATGGGCATGTTCAACTCTTAGGCGTTTTTTGAAAAACTCAAAAAAAACCCTCAAAAAATTTTTGAAACGCATTTTTCTTGTTTTGTATGCATTTCAGAAACTTTTTTTCGATCATAATTGTAGAGGGCGTTGAGTAATACAATTTATGTCATTGTTGCAATCTCGTACAACAAAAAATGCGCATTGTAGGTGGCGCTAAAGTCTCAAAAAAAGTGTTTTTTCACTTTTTCACCCTGAAAATATCATTTTAATGGAAAACTTTAAATGGAAAAGTTGTTCCGTACATAATTACCAACAACTGTTGTATTAACAATTTTTTTAAATTACTTACAGTTTTCAAGTTACTGTGCAATACAGCGCTACGTATACAACACAGTGCAACAACCTATGGAGACTTTCTCCGTTGGCGTCGGCAACAAACAAACAACAAATCAAAATTATTACAATCATGAAAAAAAAATAAAAAATAGTAAAACGTACATTGAAATGTGCACTGCAAATGTGTACTTGAATTGTCCAAAACCGCTCTATTGGATTTTTCATGCCTGCGCAATTTATATCTTGAAAACGGTAAGTAATACAAAAAAATTGTCTATACAAAAGTTGTTGGTAATTATGTACGGAACAACTTTTCCATTTAAAGTTTTCCATTAAAATGATATTTTCAGGGTGAAAAAGTGAATAAACCCTTTTTTTGAGACTTTAGCGCCACCTACAATGCGCATTTTTTGTTGTACGAGATTGCAACAATGACATAAATTGTAGTACTCAACGCCCTCTACAATTATAGTCGAAAAAAAAGTTTCTGGAATGCATACAAAACAAGAGAAATGCGTTTCAAAAATTTTTTGCGGGTCTTTTTGAGTTTTTCAAAAAACGCCTACGAGTTGAACATGCCCATCGCCAAGATGGCTTACTGACGTCATTTGGCAACAGAAAAAACAAGACTTACCCTTTAGGTTTTTTTTTCACCGATTTTTTTTTTCGACAGATTGACTGTACTACCTGTCGTTTTTCTTATCTTTGCGTAGTGAATGATTGAAATAATACATCTTAGTTCATTTTTAACTCCCACACACTGTGGTACCGGTGAACTGTCGTAACCTTTTTATTGTACTTTGTTTTCAATTATGTAAAATAAAATGTTAAATTTCATAATTTTTCTTTAATTTAAAATGATAGAAGAAACTTCATGGAGTATAACTTATGATTTACTGCGGTTATTATTAATAAATACATGTTTTTTTTTCACATTTCATGAGTTTGCTTGCCGGTTGGGGCAATCGATTTAAAAAAAACTGTTAGTGCAGTTCTACGTATTATTTAAAATAAAAGCATGTCTTCTTTCAGTAAAATATCTACTATATTTAATATTCTTTCCCTCCATGTGGCAAAGCCGTGGGACGCCCTGTATCCGTAATTCTTTACTATTTTATTAAAATAAAAAGAAAATAGCTATCGAGATCGTTCAGGTGACGTTTTTTTGCAATACCCATTTCCTTATTATCACTTTCGAATTGTCAGATTATTGAAATGCTCACTTTCCTAATTGTAATTGATTAAGCTTAATTTGACGCGCTCGAGTATTTGTAACCATCGATTGTTTTACTAATCTGATCGGCAACCCTAGACATTTGACTCTATATAAACGGCTTGATTATGGTGGGAGTACTTCATATGGTGCAACATTGCCCCCCTTTTGTTATTCTGCCGCGCTCGAGTAAATCCCTTAATCCCCGCTTGGGCTCCTCTACTATAAACACTGACTTACTTCTATCAATAAAAATTTTGTGCTTTGATTTTCTCATTGACGTCTTCCATGATCGATAAGCTAGGATACCCATTTCCGTGGTGTCACCAACTGTGTTTGCCTGACACATTTACAAAGATTTACTTACAGCAATTGTTTAGGTTGAAGAAAATCATCAGCCGATAAATGTCCCTATTGCTGGGGCACAGGCCTCCCCTATGGATGGAAAAGGAAGATTGGGCTATAACCCACCACGCCCTGCATTGCGCATGACTGCATACAGCCTGGACCAATGGGTTATTTTCTAAAGCAGGTATTAGAAAATTAAATTTTGGTCACGATCCAATGACCTGGAGTTGTGAAATAAAATGATGCTTAACTTGTGCTATCATGCTCCTATAATATCACATACTTGAATGATATTAATTTTTGGTCAATGTAGAGGTAAATAATTACATACACATTATGTAGGTATCTATCATATTATATTTTACTGAAAGATAGACGTACCGATCGAGATCCGGGACAAAATATTGAAAAGGTGGTCGTTTCTGTATGTAAGTATGTTGAAAGTGTCAGAAATCAGAAACCATATAAAATATTGAAAACGTATTTTAATAACCATTGGCAAACTAGTCAAGTTGGTTGAATCAGCAGACTTCAAAAAATATAAATTTATTAATTAATAGAATCTACATTTAGTACTTATAACTATGCTCAGGATTGAGCCTAACCTAATGATCCAGACTGAGTTGGGAATCGGAATGGCGTCTCGCAGGACGTGATCCATATTTATATGGTCTTACACCCACGTGATATCACGTGTTGTTTTGGCTAATCTATAATGTATTCGGGGAACGTTACAGGATGTCCTTTATGCTTACTTTGTTAAACGTTATTTAAATAATACGAAATAACATGCTTTTCAGTTGGAAAATATAATTTAATTAATTTGACAAATGACAACATCACTCAAGGTTAACTAATACATGCATACACTATGGTTTACGAAAGGAGTCTACAACATTCGTCCCGCCCGTTCTTCTTTAAGACATTTCTGCAATCAGCCGCCGTGGCGCGCATCTCATCCTAGTACTGCGACGCATTGGGGTACCTGGACGAATCGGTGTATTGGGTGTCATCCGTGCAGCAGTGGGCGTGATTGAATTATTAGGGATTGGTACTGATGCTGCAGTTTGTGTCACGTCCAGCTGTGCATCAATCTCTGACAGCGGTGTCAAAACAAGAGCCGGTGAGGATATGCTCTCTGTATGCTCTTGATTGTCTCCAGTCTCTGCATTCGCCAAACGCAATCTTATCTGGTCAGCGTGATAACGATGCTGTGTACCGTCGTCAGTGTTAACAATATATGAATATCGGCCAGTCCGGCGCACAACAGATGCCGGTTTCCACCCTGGTTTATCTCTGTTACGACAATAAACCGTCTCTCCAACATCAAATATTTTGTTCTTCCCATCGGCTTCAATGTTCGCTTTAATTTGCCTATACTGTAGATCTCGTTTACTACTAGGACGAATGTTATCCAAAACGGTGTGAGTCTGTCGACCAAACATCAGCTGTGCCGGTGTTTTCCGGTTGTTGAATGTGGGGTCGTGCGATAACACAGCAAAAACTTGTTTAACCGAGCCCTTAAACCATCAGACTCATTAGTGCTCGACGACATTCTGCTTTTGAACGTACGCACTAATCTCTCGGCTAATCCGTTCGTACGAGGATGGTACGGGGAGGATTGCATGTGAATGATGCCTCGTTCCTTACAAAAACTTTGAAACTGTTGCGAAATAAACTGTGGTCCATTATCAGACATAATAAACTGTGGCAGTCCGAAAATTGTAAAAATATCGTCCAATTCTTGACATAAATGTGCTGTTGTTGTTCTCGTCATTGGCTTTACTTCAATCCACTTTGACAGAGCGTCCGCTAATACGAGCCAAAATTTACCCTCAAACGGTCCAGCAAAATCCAGATGTATTCTTTCCCAGACTCTATCCGGTACAGACCACGAATACACTGGCAGTTCCGGGTTGTTGGGTCTGTTCTCTTGGCATTTGCGGCAACGCTTTACGTATGCCTCGATCTCTTCATCGATTGACGGCCACCATACGTGAAATCTCGCAAGGGCCTTCATTGCCGACGTTCCTGGATGGCCTTTGTGTAAAACTTTTAATACTTCCCTATGTAGGGACCCTGGTACAACAATTCGGCCTTGCCACATGATGATCCGACTTTCTTCTGACAGCTCACAGCGTTTTCGTAAGAAAGGCTTTAGGTCATTGGAATTCGTTTGTTCTCTCCACCCATCCTTAATATGCTGTAAGACTTGTTTTAATACATTGTCCTTCTTTGTTTCCGTGCGAATCGTATCCTCCGTTAAGGCAAGGTCAATAATTTTGACGTTGTTGTGCCGAGCTTCGATACGATGTACGTTCTGTTCAGCTTTCGAAGGTTGCTCCTCGGAGCTCGGCATGCGTGACAGGAAATCAGCCAGAAAGTTATTGCCACCTCTTGTATACGTGATGTCATATTGGTAGCTCCCGATAAGCAGTGCCCACCTTACTAGACGGTTATTGACGAGTTTTGGCAGGTTTCGTTGCGTTCCTAGTAGGTGAATCAGAGGTTTGTGATCTGTGACTAGCGTAAATTTTATGTTCCTAAGATACTGATCAAATTTTTTGATACTAAAAAAGATTGCTAGCGCTTCTCTATCAATGACAGAGTACTTCCTTTCTGGCGCCCTTAGTTTCCTTGATGCAAATGCGATGGGTTGTATTAAATCCCTGTTTTTGTGATATAACACAGCCCCGATTCCTTTTTCTGATGCGTCACAAGCAAGGTATAATGGCCGCTTGTCGCTGAAGGCTACTAGAGGTTGAGCGTTTGAT